TATTTTAAAAACTTTAAGTATTTAAAATGGAGTTCCCATTCTCTGTTTTATATAAGAATATTCGAGAAAGTTTAGGGGAGATCACTCCCTGTTTATTTTATTACAGAAAACAAATTATAATAAGATGTCGATAAAAAAATACTATAAAATTTGTTCTTCACATTTTTTTAATAGGGTTGAAGTAAAACCATCTATCATAGCTTATATGTAAAGAGGACACATGCAAAACCTACAAAAAACATACAAAGTTTACTTTTAGAAAAAAACTAGACTACCCGTCATCCCTTGGATAACTGTGGGTTTCGAGGGTCATCCATAAAAAAAATCACGTTTGTCACTTATAGTCACAAAAAACCAGATACCACATTAAAAAAAAACACGGATTTAGACTGAGCATGGGTCTGACCACACTATTCCTTCATATATTGACGTCACAGGTGACCTACTCAACTCTACTTCACCTGCCCAGTGTCCCGCCAAGTCTCAGACATGTTTTTATCGTTTAAAAAAACGATTCCGGCCTAGTATGTCTCTGTCCACACTATCCCTTCATAAGTTGAGGACAAAGAAACTACTTCACCTACCCTGTGTCCCGTGAGGTACCGATAGACATCTTCGTCATTTACGTTAAAAAAAACAAAAATTAAGAAAAAAAATTGTGTTGATGTGTCCCGAACCCGTACCTCTCGCAGGGTAGCTATTCCACTACCATCTTAACTATAGGGGCACTGACTAAACATTGTAAAATTAGTCGTATACTGTACTGCAAAGTAAGAAACCAGTTACGCGAATAGGAACTATTATTTTAAATTTAATTAGGGGCTTATATCCCAAATTAGCCAATTCCATAACCAAACAAACAAAGATTTATATTAAGTCCTGAAATAGTTTAGTATATAGAATCTAGTTCTAGGTTCTAGATTCTAGATGTAGAATTTACGTTGAGTCTAGATTCTAGTTTTTTTGCCGTAACTCTAGATCCAGATGTAGAACCTAGATAGATAAAACATATGATTTCTCGATCATTGAAGCTAAACAGTTTTTTATATAAATTACTTATGGCATGAAATAGATTCTAGATTCTAGATGTAGAATTAACTTTAAGTCTAGATCTAGAATTTACGTTAAGTCTATTGACATAGATCTAGATCTAGATTCATAACATTTTCTTCCTTCGACAGCTGATCTGTAGATCTACTGAAATGTAGTGTATGATAAAATAAAAATAACTGTTTAAACATTGCTAATAGTGTTTAAACGTAATAAAAATAGCAAACAGACGTATTGTTAAACTTATAGCCGACAGAAAATTAGCTTTATAACGCGTTAAAGATCTGAACGGGCAACACAATCTTTGATGGAACTGCCATTGTTGTTTCAGAAAGTAAATAAATCATGTGACGTCCCTATTCACTCTAAGTAAAGTCATTGTTTTAAAATTTTATAATTAATGTGGTTAATCTACCAATGAATAAATCAATACATTAATTAACGTCTTTAAATAAATTTGTGATTAACAGTCTGTCTAAAAACAAAAATTGGTCTCTACCTACATACTATTTTACAGCTCTACACAGTGCAGATTCTCTCCTGTAGCCAATCGGACAAGCAAAACAACAAAAAAAAATATTCTAACATGTAAACAAAGTTGAGTTTTAGTAGTATATAGATAGATACGTTGCTCATATAACCTTCTCTAAAAACATGCAATTTTAGTGGTATATTAAATTTGTGTTAGAAAATGTATACATTAAAGCCTTCATTTTTAGCAGTCAACCTTGTACGTGTCCCAACAGCATGTAAAATTATATGCTAAACCTTTTAAACACGGCCTTTCACAAATATCTTTTACCTCAAAAGCCAGCGCAGGGCCAGGCCGCTAAGGCTAGTTAGTATCTATTTTGGTAGTTTTCGCAGTTATACACCTACTTAATTTATCGCTTAATGAATGTAAAAGATGAAGTGTAATCAGTGGCGTAGCCAGGATCGTCTCAAGGGGGGGGGTTCCAATTTTTTACCCGGGGACAAACTTTCGATTTGCACCCCCCCCCTCAAACTTTCGATTTCCACCCCCACTCAAACTTTCGATTTGCACCCCCCCCCCCCTCAAACTTTCGATTTGCACCCCCCCCTCAAACTTTCGATTTGCAACCCCCCCCCTCATACTTTTTATATATACCGAGGGGTCTATGGGGGGGGGTTATGACCCCCCCTAACCCCCCCCTGCCTACGCCACTGAGTGTAATCGTGCAAAAAATCTAAATCGAGATTTTAAATAAAAGTTAAACTGGGTAAATTTAGTTCCCCCATCCTGTCGGTGTGTGTGTGTGTGTGTGTGTGTGTCTGTGTTCGTGTGTAAACACGCAACCGAGCATCTTTTCAGTTAGGCTGAAGAAATGTGTTATGTAAGTACTACATCAAAGGTATCGATTTCAATGAGCTTTTCAGCAATTTCTGGTAACCGAAGATAGTATTCACTCTAATTTCGGTTTCTCAAAAGCCCATTAGATCTAGTACCGTTTAAGTTAGGTGGACGAAATTTAAAATACATATATTAGATTGTAGGTTGAACTCTATTCCCCTGTGAACAAGACAGCGTGAGTAATTTATATAAGCTTCCATATATTTATAAGATCTCATATTTGGATTATTCTCATACTTTGATTGAGCTGCAATATAGGTAAGTGGTTGTTTCATGTATTTTCTCTGATTTTAAAATACCGATAACTTAAGTGCTGTTTTAGTCCAGTGGTAGAAACTCGTCCAAATCGTAACAGCGACATTTACGTAAATGAACACAACAACATAAAAGCACGGATTGACTGTGCTGATGTAAAAATTTTGATGCCTGAAAATCATAGAAATTCTAGCATTCTTATGGCTAACAAGGCCCTTAACTAAAATAATTGTGCATATAACATGAGTTGTCTTGCTTTAAAGCAATGTCACCGTCAGAAACGAATACGCAATATGTAAATGTTTAATATCCTGCTATGGTATTTGTGTGTGTGTGTGTGTGTGTGTGTGTGTGTGTGTGTGTGTGTGTGTGTGTGTGTGTGTGTGTGTGTGTGTGTATAAAGCAGACTTGAAACAGCAATTTTCAGGTTAAAAAAAAGAAAACAAAACAAACGAAAGAAAAAAAATAAAATATATAGATCCAACGTTAGTAAAATAAAAACGATAAAACAAAAGCTGGATCTCCCACCCCCAACTCTTCACTACCCCGACGGTCTCACAAGGGGTGCACCATCATAAAGTTAACATGAGAACATGTATATCTATTTTTTTTAATTACACCGCAATAAATTAATAAAATTATCAAAAACATCAACAAAGCTTGTTTACTTCGCCTTACGAGAGGTTAAATTCTCAGTTTGTGGTTTTAGGGGAGTGCGAACTAAGTAAGTCTTCATGAATAAAATATAATATTAAAATGAAATATAAAATATATACTAAAATTCAAGCTCTAAATATACAAAACTGATTATAAAAAATATAATGTAGGAATGTGGAAGCTTTGTTAGCTCTGAAACACACTTTAACAGTTTTTATCGATTAAGTCTGGAGCATGCTAGATGTTAGGACAACGTTTTCTTCTTCTGCTGTAGACGGCGTCACGTCATGGTTTGCTTTAGCACCTGAGTTGTTAGCAAAGTTGTTGTAAGGTGTGTTGACTTCGTTCTGTCTCTCTAGGACTTGGTACATACATATGTACGCTCCTGTTCGATGCCCAAAATAGTACTCGCTCCTAATGGGTAGAATATATATTACACATTTCATAAGGTCTGATCGATAATTGTGTTAAATTTTTTGTTATCTTTTTTTATTTTATTATTAGTTTTATTGATTTATTAAGTGTAAAGATTACAACATGGTGGAATAAGTCAATTTTCTAAAACAAAATCAAAATCGCTCGAGACTAAATTTTGGGTTTGTACGTTATTAATACATATATTTAAAGTACATTGTAAGTCAATACCTAATTGTTAAGGATAAAGTTACTTGAATCAAATAAATCAGTCATATTTATTTATCGTCGCATTGAATACTTTTTCTAATTCTGAAACACAATTAATAAAACTCCTTACTTAAAAGATTTACAATAAACTCCTCTTCCAGTTTGCTTCCCTTCGTAAGCGATCATTTTGGTCAGTAGACGAAACGGTTCTCCTAAAAAAAATGGCGAATTGAGCTGTTATTTGAAGTAAGTTGTACTGTTTCTAATTAAACATGACACATATTTTAAAAATAAATTGATTAAAAATCCAGTTTGCAAGAACGTGAAAAAAACACTTGTATAAATTTACAGCACACTATATTATGGCGGTAGAAAATGGATACATGCGTATTTAAACTGAATCTTAAACATTTAAAAATGCTAATTATAATATGACCTTTTAATTAAACGCGATATATATATATATATATATATATATATATATATATATATATATATATATATATATATATATATATATATATATATATATAACTGTGAATCGTGTCGGTCAAGTAGAACTGTCCGAATTTTCACTCCTGCGTTTCCGTCTAGACAGACTGACGACTGACGACAGAGGAAGTGAGTTAAATAAAAGCTTGTAAAAATACCTTACATTCCCTAACACGATGACTGCCTCCGAAACAAAATAGTGAGTATGTAAAATTAGAAACCTATAGCGGACAGCAATAGGCCTTAATATATTCATTAAGGCCACCCTCTGTTCTAAGTCCGCAATTTCCCACGGTGTTAAAGGTACATTTTTATCTAGGCATGATGTGAAGTGGAACAGGTTGGATTGATGGCTCATCTTAACTTTCTGTAAAACCGCATTTTTTTTACAAAATATCAGAAGCATTTGATACCATCTACTTTAAAAAGTGATTTTATTGATAATAAATATTTCTTCTGCTAAATTCAAACATATATTTTAACACACACATTTACATTGCTATGTTCCAGCATATATTTTATCACACAAGGTTACTTATCTAAATTTAGATTATATTTTATTGCAATTGTTTACTTTACTAGGTTCCAATGTCCGCAATGTGCAGTCAGCGGACACATGAGTTTTTGCCAACTTCACTTGGATATCACCGAATTTCAACAACCTTTCTGTAGGCCGGTACAGAGAACGTTTCTTCTGATAATCAGATGTGTACAATATTTATATTAGGAAAATATCAACAATACTTTTTCGTAAACCCTACATTGGCTTGTTGTAATTCCATGTGAATGAATTGCTAAAAAAACGTAATGACTTGTAAAAAAAATATGCGTTACCTTCCCTTCTTTAATCATAATATCCAACATCATAAATGTATCAATGTTTTGTTCCCAAATCTCTCGAACACAGTCGTTGATGCCTACTTCATTTGGGCCTGTAAACAACATTAAATAATTGTCTAATGTGTCGCCTTTTTGCTTAATTTAAATGTAAACATTATATGCAATATAACTTTAAACCAATAAATTATTCTATACTATTATTGCTAGAGTATAATGAATATTCAGTTGTATTTATTACATGTCTATTCTTTACTATTTTTCATCATTGATTTAATACTGTTTGTATCAAATATTTCTAACGTAAAAAGAACTAAAATTGCAATACTACCTTGTGATGCGACAAATCTCTGTTTATTTTTGTAGCCCTAGAAAGTGATCGACATTTTTTCATAAACTATGAGATTTTTGAGATTTGTTTAAAACAAACTACATTTAAGTAGTCACAATACACAATAAATTAACATGTTCTTTAAAATACTGACTGCACTTATTTTAAGCTCAACAAAAGTACCAACATTTATTTCTCTCACATTAATCTCCTTATCAAAATGGCGACAATACTTACAGTAAACTCTCCACGGTAAAGTAGACTTTCGTTTGTCTGCATGCCATGTAGCTCTGAGACCAAGACTTTAATGTCGTTTACACCCATGTTACAATTTGTGTTTTTATTAACAACAGGCTGTTCGCTTACTGTTACGTTGGATTCCATCTTTTTTTTAGGTCTGTTTAGATTTAATAGACAATATGGAATACAATAACAACACATTTATAAACATTGTTGGAGCGAGAAACATTCACGGTGATGCGCCGTTAATAAAATTTTAAGCATTATGTACTGTTTCATATCTAACTCAGGGGTCGGCAACCTTTTGAGACGGAAGAGCCAAAAGTTACAATTTACTAAATTTTCCAGTTTTTAAAGAGCCACATTTTTATTTTCAATATTTGGTATTTGATTAGGATTATGTAAATAGATTTGGTTTGTTATTTAAAATAAATAGTTTTAAATAGAAATAATATCTATTCAATTAAAAAAATACACATGTTTCGCCAGAGTAATAACATTAGTAAACAAATAATATATCTATAGGACTCTCCCAATACACTTTAGAAGCTGGGGTCTCCCAACTAGAAGATAAGGAAATGCATTCTAAATAAAATAACATTCCCATTTAACGATATTCAAACAAGTCGGCACTTGGGCAGTGTAAGCATGGAAATATTGCCACGGGCTGTCTATAGCACTGCTGTGGGGCTGGGCGTGGTGCCCAAGCGGCTATTAGCTGTTCTTATACTTTCTAATGCACCTATTCTCACAGTTCTCTGGTGAGTATTTTTATCCTGTTTAAAGCTGTGTTTCTTTAAAGTGTAATATATTTTTAGAATTTTTTAAATGAAATAATATAACTATCAATATTAGTACAAGGAGCTGGAGAGCTGCATTTTGACATCGAAAGAGCCGGATGCGCCGTAGGTTGCCGATCCCTTTTTTAACATATCGTTCTAGCACATAGCTTGTAACACATATAACTTTAAGTAAAACTAAAAAACTAATAATCCCCGTAATGACTATGGGATAAATAGTCATTCCCAAATGACGTCACGAATGTTTGAAGATTGTATTCCTCTCACTACTCACTGTCACACATCATTACAAAAAGTCAGCTCACTACATCTAAAAAGACGTTACACCTCAGAAAATACTTTTTCGACTTATAAAAAAAAAACAATTTTAGCTGAGCATAGTGTCGACCATACTATCTTATTATCTAAAAAAAAGTCACACTCCAGCTGAAATGTTTTTGTTTTTAAAAACGTTGATTTCTTTATATTACACTTATCAACCTCAAAACTCAAATGAATATCAAAGTAATACATTATTACAACTAACATCGAAATAATAACAATGAGTTAGAACCATGTGAGAGCATTGGGATTTCCCGCTGTGAACTTTCTATGTGGGAAAGTTAAGACCAAAAATGTACAACATATATCCCCTGTAAAAGATTTACGGGAGGCCTTAAAAAATTGAAACAAACAATATTTTAACTAAGTCATATCATAGGTAACAAATTACAATGATAAGAAACACAAAGGTAATTAAAATTAATACTAATAGTTTCGCTGTCTGTCTATATGACAAGAACGCTCTAGAGAAAACACAAGCAAATTAAAAACATGCATAGTAATTCGAAAAACGAAGTATGACGTCGTCACATTTAGCACAGAGTAGAAAATAATCTCAAGCCGGATAGTGCACACAGTAATATGACGTCATTGATTCTCGAGTAAACATTGAATAAAAAGGAAATGTTGTCTTCTTCTTCTTCTTCTTCGTTCTTAATTATTTGTGTTGAAGGGGATCGAGATTTATCTGCCAGTGGGTTTGAACTCGAGACTGTTCGAATTTATCAACCATGAGCTTTTTGCCGACTCGACCACGCCTCCAACACAATTAAGCGTTACGTGTCAACTGGTTATGTGCCATTGAGGCCATTGACTCCGATTTCAGCCTGCTTTTCTTTTTGGATTCGCTTCCATAGCCTTTGTCCAACCAAGAACAAACTACAAGGCAGCAGTTGTTTAATTTTGGAGTTGTCTCTCCTAGAAGAGTGGCTGTCCCCAGCTAACGAGCCTCATCTGCCCGAGGGTTCGAACTCGAGACTTTTCGGTTTAGCAATCATGTTTCTTTCAGACTTTTTCCTCCCCGGAGAGGGGTGGTGGTACTTGAAATTTTCGGGGGCGGGGGTAGAATTTTCGGGGAGGGGGCGGACACTGGAAAAAGTATATAATTATATTTCGTTGAATGGGACGTTAGACATTTTTTTTTTGGGGGGGGTGGGGGTGGTGGTGTGTGTGTGTGTGGGGGGGGGGGGAGGGGTGGGGTGGTTTTAGTTTAGAGAAAAGAGACAGCACTATCAGCCTAGCGCCCGTTGTATCCTTCCTCAACGGGCCATTTTTCTCGTATTTAAATATTTAAGGACTAAAATTGTTTCTTAAAATAATTGAATTATTTGTTTTGTATTTATGGGCCTACTTTTTTTAGTAAGCACTTTTGGCATAGATTCTAAATGTACATCTACTTTTCGACAACAACTTAAACCTAGTTTCGGTATTTCTAAAAATATTTAGTGTAGTTTTGAAAATAAAGTATTTTTTTCTCAAGTTGTACATAAAATGTGTTTATACACATAACTATATCATTAATTTAATGTAAACCTTGAAATAAATGCGTGTCTTATATATTCTGAAAAAAAAATGTTTTTCTCTACCAAAGTACGCATTTTAAAGTGATACACACTGTGCATGTGCTCTGATCAGACGATATCCAAAAACTATTTAAAATAAACGCACTAATTTTAGAAGCATATAGATAAATGTTACCTTAAGAGTGCAACAATGATAACGCAAACAACAAAAAGCGGCATTGCTCCTATTATAGGAATAATGATGTTCGGCTCTTCGCTGTGCAATGGAACAGTAGTTTCTTTAATTGGAGAATAGAAGTTTAAATTAAAGAATGTTATGTACTACAAGTATAATCACATAGTGCTAAAATTACCAACTGTTAAGTCCTTTTAATATGCAAGAGTCGGAGAGCTACCAATTGATAATTACCATTAAACAAGCTAGAATACTAGAGCTACCAATTGATACTTACCCTTGAACAAGATGCATTCCGTGTCTTGTTCTGTGAACGTTTCATTACACCCAAGTAGACAAGTTCCATCTGTGTAGTTACACCAAACCTGTGTGTCATTGACCACACACAATGAGCTGCATGGTGTATGACAACCGTCTCCATAGTAGCCAACATCACAAACTGCATGAAGGTTTTAGTGTAGATTGTTACAATGAATAGAACTATCTACAATGTAAAGTGGAATAACAAATACTTTTTAGCGCAATTTCCTTACAGGAATTGCGATTATTAACTCGTCTTTTCTGGATGGGTGTGTGTCCGCAGCTTTAAGTCGTCTTTAAGTCGTATCTCCTCCTCAACGAAGCAATATCGAGGACTAGTTCCAAAAGCAAATATGTTAAGCAAATTCCGAGGATGATTGTGGGCTAAACACATTCCCTGAATTCCTTCCTGGATTTCCCGGAAAAGCCAAAAAACCATGAAATTCTGGATGGATGGACGTGTGTCTGCAGCTTTAAGTCGTATCTCCTCCTCAACGAAGCAATATCGAGGACTAGTTCCAAAGCAGATATGTTAAGCAAGTTTCGAGAATGATTGTGGGCCAAACAAATCCAGGAATTCCGTCCTGGAATTCCCGGAAAACCAAAAAAACCTCGAAAAAATACAGTTTTTGGCCCATATCTCGGCAACCAGACCACTTAGCGACTTGAAACATTTACCAATCGATTTCTGCCATAATTTAGAACAATATTGCCGTAGAAAGTTTTCAAAATATCCTTTCGTTCGGTAAAATTGTTTTTTTTTTAAATTACATTATAACATAAGGAAATTGCGCTTAAATTGTCACTAGACTTTTTATTAACTTGTTTAGTTATATCTTTACGTGTTTTATTTACTGCTTTAATGACCAAAGCATTCTAAACATGTTTATTTTAGTTTACTAATTTTAATAACTTGTACATTTACCTTTGCATATATATATATATATAACAACATTTATTAGGTACAATCTAACATTATCAAAAGTATTTTTTCTTGATATCCAGATAGCAGAGCCTACCTTTATCACAAAAAATCCCGTGATATCCAGGATTACACTTGAAACAGTAACCGTTAGTCGCGTTGCACTGTAAATTTAAACAGTTAAAAGGGCAGGTGCTTGTACAGTTTTGTCCGAGATGGCCGTCTGCGCAATCTGTGTTGGGTGTTAGAAAAATTTAAAATGTATCACTCATTAAATAAACATCTCCATTGTTGTGCTGCTTTTTAAAAATGCATCAACGGTTATATGCTATCCAATCACCTCATGTTTTCGTCTACAAGCTTTAAGTAAAACAAATTACCATGATCACAAAAGAAGCCCATTTTGCCAAAAGGACAACTTAAACACCGACCATTTACGTTGTCACAAATCTGGTCTGTGCAGTCGGTGCTACATGGCTTGCTGCATTGATCCCCATACGTAGTAGCATCGCAATCTGTGTAGTTTTATCCAGAATAAAATAGTCATGAAAATGTATCTTTTAATTATAGGACATACATAATTATACTTTTTATCATTATGATCAAACTTGTTATGAGCAATGAGAACAGACACAAATAAAGCAACTAATGAAATAGGTTTTTAACATTAAAGAACAATAATGAACCCAACCAAGTACAGGAATGTAAGAGTTAAAACAAGACTAAGTCGTCGCAAGATAAAATAAACTTTTCTCACTCTTATCACAAAAGCCGCCTTGTTTTCCAATAATACAGCTATTGCAGGTTCCATCAACATTGCTACACTGTTGATTTTTACAGCTGGTGTTGCATCTTTGTGCACAGTTTATACCATAGTATGAGGTATCGCAGGCTGTTTAGGAATAAGATGACATCTTCAGATTTAAAGTTAGATTTAAATTTAGATTTAAAGTTAGATTTAAAGTTAGATTTAAAGTTATATTTAAAGTTATATTTAAAGTTAGATTTAAAGTTAGATTTAAAGTTAGATTTAAAGTTAGATTTAAAGTTAGATTTAAAGTTAGATTTCAAGTTAGATTTCAAGTTAGATTTCAAATTAGATTTAAAGTTAGATTTAAAGTTAGATTTAAATTTAGATTTAAAGTTAGATTTAAAGTTAGATTTAAAGTTATATTTAAAGTTATATTTAAAGTTAGATTTAAAGTTAGATTTAAAGTTAGATTTAAAGTTAGATTTCAAGTTAGATTTCAAGTTAGATTTCAAGTTAGATTTCAAGTTAGATTTCAAATTAGATTTAAAATTAGATTTAAAGTTAAATTTAAAGTTAGATTTAAAGTTAGATTTAAAGTTAGATTTAAAGTTAGATTTAAAGTTAGATTTAAAGTTTGATTTAAAGTTAAATTTAAAGTTAGATTTAAAGTTAGATTTAAAGTTAGATTTAAAGTTAGATTTCAAGTTAGATTTCAAGTTAGATTTAAATTTAAATTTAAAGTTAGATTTAAAGTTAAATTTAAAGTTAAATTTAAAGTTAAATTTAAAGTTAGATTTAAAATATATCGACAATTAAAATGTTGTATTGTTTTCATTTGATTAATGAGTTTGTGCGTAAATTAATAGGGCGGAATCTATAAAATGTATATAGCACATTTTTATTCTCCCGCTTTAAACATAATAGATGTCAATAAATGATAACTTACCGTACTCACAAAACACCCCTTGGTACCCAGCTGAGCAGCCCAGACATGAACCATCGATATTGTTACATTGTTGGTTTAAACACCTGCGACTGCACGTTTCCGCACATCCTGCGCCGTAGTGTGAGTCACTGCATTCTATCCAAGACAATTAAACCAGTGGCGTGACAACCATTAAAACATATCGGACACAGTTCACTGGTGATACTCGTTTTTTTTAATTTTTTTTGCAATTGAATCGCAACATTGCTACCCCCCCCCCCCCCCCACCTCAAGTGACTGCTTTGAACTGTGCATATTGAACAATGTTTCTCTTTAGTCGTTTGTGAATGCAGCTGTGTATTATTGTTAATATTTATAGTTAACACCTTTACGTCATAGTGTTACTTCCCCAGTCAATTTGTACTAAACTAACCAATCAACTTTCATTAATCGTTGAACTGAAAAGGCGGTTTTCTTCTGAACATTTTGTAATAGTTTGTCTTTGTATCCATGTCTAAATGGTGTCATCCGGTGCGGTGCGCAACCCTCGTACCTCCTTGTGTAAAAAATGTGCTATGTAGACAGTACTCAACACTTAGTTTTTTCTATATTAAATATGTGTTTCCGGATTTTCACATCTCTTTAATGTAAAAGTTGATTCTCATATTTGGAATCTAATGTACAGAAAAATATCAACTCACTTATTTTTTTACAAGTTATTTATAATTGTCTTACGTTCTTAAATTTACATTTTGCCGAAACCCAACAACAGTTATTATCACAACAACTGTCACGCTACAATAATTACGAAACTTTTAAAACACTATACGTTATTTTAATATCATGAACACACCTTCAGAGCAGCCGTAACCTTCATAGCCCACAGGACAACCCGACAGACATCCGCCTGTTGTGGGAAAACATTTCTCAGTTCTATCGTCACAGTTGCAAGGGATGGAACATTCGGGCCCATATGATTTAGGTGTGCAGTAATGATCTAAATGTTAGCAGATCGTAAACATGGTTGTTAACAAACAGACAATGATAAACAATCGTAAATAGTGCTAATTTACATTGCAATATTTTTAGCAACCCTCTAGCCATATACATAATACATTGCTAATTGATGAAAATATCTTAACATCATTTAACTTCAATAAAGTTCTTCGTATTTCCTATATGTGTGTTTAAAATTTCATTGTATCTTCGAATACTTTACTCGGTTTTTCTTACCGCTGTAGGTCTCCACCTCACATAGCGTTAATATGCCCCTAGCAGAAATGGTCACATATGAAATAGGAGTGGCTGAAGGTCTGGTTGTGATGGTGTAAATAGTGACGTTATTGTCGGGGTTATTATCAGTGTAACTGAATTGTTCCCGATCAGTTGAGCTGCTGCTTTTTAATACAAATCCTTTAATCCGTTCCCTGTTATCTTCTGAAAATAAAAAAAAAATTATTACACAGCTATGTAACTTATTTTTCAATTATTTTTTTACATAGTAGAATAGATTGGCATAAAATGCTGTGTACCTCTGTTATGGATTACATATCTGTTCAAGTACCATGGCTGACTAAATGTGACTTTCCATTCACCTGGCAATCCCGTCAAAGTGTGTGAACATGATTTGTGAGTGTAAAATTTTCTACTTGTATTGCCATCTACAGCTCTACTGGGATCATATGATACACCTTGGTAGGTTTCCGTGGTTGATTGCCAGGTTAATTGTTTTATGGCTACGTTACGACCTAAAAATTGCCAAATTAAAAAAATATAATCAATACATCTGATAATTTCTAATATAAATATAAAAACTTAATATATTTTCGTTATCTATAAAAATGCATTACTATACCTTTCATCTGATCCCCATAAAATTTAGTTTCTTATTGTAAGTACTCCTACGAAGGTTATTGTGAAAAATTCATTTTAATTTCGGTAGAGCGGCGCCCGAAGTGTGCGATGTGATTTTTCTCCATGACAATGACAATGACCATGGCCGTGATCGTGACCATGACCATGACCATGACCATGACCATGACCATGACTATGACCATGACCATGACCATGACCATGACCATGACCATGACCATGACCATGACCATGACCATGACCATGACCATGACCATGACCATGACCATGACCATGACCATGACCATGACCATGACCATGACCATGACCATGACCATGACCATGACCATGACCATGACCATGACCATGACCATGACCATGACCATGACCATGACCATGACCATGACCATGACCATGACCATGACCATGACCATGACCATGACCATGACCATGACCATGACCATGACCATGACCATGACCATGACCATGACCATGACCATGACCATGACCATGACCATGACCATGACCATGACCATGACCATGACCATGACCATGACCATGACCATGACCATGACCATGACCATGACCATGACCATGACCATGACCATGACCATGACCATGACCATGACCATGACCATGACCATGACCATGACCATGACCATGACCATGACCATGACCATGACCATGACCATGACCATGACCATGACCATGACCATGACCATGACCATGACCATGACCATGACCATGACCATGACCATGACCATGACCATGACCATGACCATGACCATGACCATGACCATGACCATGACCATGACCATGACCATGACCATGACCATGACCATGACAATGGCGATGACCATGAACATGAACATGAACATGACCATCAACATAAACATCATATTGCGTTAGTAAAAGCAAAAGTGGTTTAGCGTGCAACTTATCACACTACATATCAAACGACATGGACAGATACATAGATAATCTCTACTCTTCTGCCTAATGATCCGCTGGGTCCGAAAGTTTCTGCTGGGCAAGAACGATTTTTAAATTGATTATTTTGTCAATCGATTTTTTTTTCTTCTCAATTATTTATTTGCTCTATAAGTTGTTACTAATTTATTGTGTTACTGATAGTTTTAACGCATTGATTTATCGAAAAAAAAAATTATACTAAATTCATCGATAATGAATGCTTTTTAAAATGATTTAATGAAACTTGAAAAACAGTATTTATTTTAGAAATATTCTAATATTTATAATATTCTAATGTTGTACGCAATTTTCAGAGATAACATTTAGGCTCCCCCAAGGGCGGATTTATCTTGCTCGATGCCTGGACTGAAACTTTTGGGGTTCCCCTGGTATATACATATATATATAGGGGAGGAGGAGGTGAAAATTTCACTTTTTAGGATCCAGAGACAACAAGTGTGAATGCCAATGCACCAGATAGAGTTCCACATTTCAGTTAACTGTATACAGATCCGTTTGAAAAACTATTCACGGTATGCCCATGACAGACTAGCAAACTGGTGATTTAGAATTGTGACATTTTACCACAGTGCGGGGTCAAAAAGTGTCACATGCTTGGAGTGAAACGTATTAACTGTTTCATATGTAATTTGATTGAATCTATTTGGTTCCAAAAACATTTTTTTTTTGTAATATTACAAATAGTTTCTCTTAATAATCAAGAATAGTAATGAATGTTTATATATATATATATATATATATATATATATATATATATATAAGGTTCCATGACAAATGATCTCAGGACAAATGATCTCAGACAAAATATCTCAGACGAAATATATCACGGACAAATAATCTCAGGACAAATGATCTCAAGGACAAATGATCTCACGGACAAATGATACCAGGACAAAATATATCAGGCAAATGATATCATGGACAAATGATCTCAGACAAAATATCTCACAGCAAAATTTTAATAGTGTATTGGATGATTTTAGTTGATCTGAATTTTTTTTTATTGGCTGTCATATGGTTTTGTTTACTATGTTTATTATTGTTTATAGGCCTATATAATAATTGTTAGAAATTTTTGCTGAATAAATTTATCATATTGCTCGAAACATTTTAAAGCTTGTATTAGTAATATAATATACGAAGAATAAATAGCCAAAGCCAAGGTTCAGTAGAATGTGCCAACAAAGATGTTCAAAATATGATGATGGCAAGGTAGTTTGTGCAGCCCATTATTGTGGATCCTGTGGCAACGATGTCTATGCAATATGCGGAACAGCCAATGAAGCAGACGAAGGGTATGGAGAGAACAGTACTCGCAGAAAATGTTCACAATAAACAAGAAATTGTGGGCAACAAGTCAGCAGCTCATACAATCTTGCAAACTCAAGGAGCTAAGATCTAACAAAATTTAAACAAGCTGAAGTGGGAGATACTGGTCGCATCCGTATTGTGACAGTGCCTGAATGCCTTCAGCCAATCCTCTCCTTCAGTTTTTGCAGAGGACCAGGATTCTTGCATGGCAATCTTGTTGGCAACAGCAACTTCATAGGCTAGTTTGCGAAATTCTCTCAGTTAGGCCATACAGATTGAAGAGGCTTCAAGGATGTAGTCCAGCAAAACTTGTTCTTGCTCATCTGAGAAGATGCGCTTCTTCTGCGTGCTGTAACCAAAGTTTCCTTCTCAATGTTGCCGTTGTTTTGTGCAGATTTACATAGCGATGAAGGGTCATATAATTAAATCCACAGTCGGATGCATCTTTACGGAGCAACTTTCCTTCAAAACGGGCTGTAACTGACATCTCAATGGCATGTTTCGTAAAAGTTTCTCGTGTTTTCTTGCGCTGGTATTGTCTTGGCATGATTCTGTAGATAAAAAAGCAAGCTGAACGCCTTAGACTAAATTCAAATATAAAATCTAATCACAAAACGCAGTGATTGAATATGTAATGATTGGACAATAAATGTTATTATTACTATTATTATTATTTTTATTATTATTATTACTATTAATATTAATATTATTATTATTATTATTATTATTATTAAAACTACTACTACTACTACTACTACTACTACTACTAATACTTGACCTGCGTATTATTATTTTATTCATGCTACGGGAATATAATGACTTCCCTGTCATTTGGAAATTCAAGAAAGAAAAATAAAAAAAAATATTGTGCATGTTTTGTACCAAGTAGTCTTCTACTTTAATGAACGGAGTGAACATTCACACCCAAGACATAGTGTGAATTCTCACCCCATGACCTATGACAGTTCATCCCAACAAAATAATCCACACTTTCAAATCAATTTCTCAAAAGTACAAATAATCCAGACTTACGTTATTATAGCTTGAGAAAACAACAAGTGAATGAAAACACAAAAATAATGAAAGATGCAAGCATACTTACATGATTTCGTTGATTAAATTTCTCACTTTGTAGATAAAAAAGTACATGTGGTTCTGAACTTAATTCTGGTTCAGAAAGTTATAACAGGAAGTGAACTCCAAGCAAGGTAAACGACTAAAACGATAATTTTCTTGATGGAGGAATGAAAAAGTATGTTCTTTAAGGCAAACACATGCCGTGACTTTTCACCCACTCCTCCCATTTACACAAACACACACACACACACACAGACATATATATATATATATATATATATATATATATATATATATATATATATATATATATATATATATATATATATATATATATATATATATATATATATATATATGAAAAATGAATATAAAAAATATATATTTACCACCGTTGATGTAAACAGAGCAAATCATTTTGTCTGATTTAAAGTCTATGAAAACTTCCTTTACCAACACGTTTGATTGGCATAAGATTTCAGTGACCTTAAGAGAGAATTTAACCACTTCCATCCTATTACATGGGATGCTTTCTCCGGTCTCTTTGACAAACGAAATTTGGACATTTTCTAGTGATTCTAGCATAAATAGAAAAAGATTATTATCACCTTTTAAAACAATAATTATATGTCAAATTTATTCTATGAAATAAAAAGGTTGACTAGTCATCTAAAAAGTGTTGTTCTCGGTGCATAGGGGACAGTACCGTAGCTAAATCGTCTAATGGGGCAGGTTCAATTATGTTCCGTCATTCTCCGTCATTATATATATATATATATATATATATATATATATATATATATATATATACATATATATATATATATATATATATATATATATATATATATACACATATGGTATAAAATCACGCTTTTCAAACTAATAGAAAAACTAAATCTAATAGGTGGAACATGTCTAGCACTTCAGATCATTCATTTTTAATTAGCTACTGCTTTTGTGTTATTTAAAGTTCATTTTTTACATAATGATAAGTTATATGTTAGATTACTGCATTGATCTTACACCTCTTTACTGGTAATTGCAAAAACAATATTTACAATGTTTTACCTGTTTCAAAAAGGTATGATTCTGGCAGCATGGTACTTTGGTATCTCATTACATATTTTTCCAAATGATCTTAACAGATCAGTTCGGGATGGGTTGAGGAGGGGGAGGGTGTGGGTTCAACTTCTTTCACCACTGTCCGGTTGCTTTAGGTCATTACCTACCCAGCGTGTGCCTAGGTGTGACACTAATATCGCTCTACACAATGATGTCCTGTTTTAGGTTTTAATTCAGTATTTTGTCATATGGTGTTTTGCGTCCATTATGTGCTTAAAATAGGTTGTACGTTTTAACGGCCCGCAACTCATCATGAGTAAAAAAAAAGTCGTTTAGGTGACAGGACAAATGATCTCAAAAAAATGATCTCGGACAAAATTTCTGAGACAAAATATCTCACGGACAAATGATCTCAGGACAAATGATCTTAAGGACAAATAATCTCACGGACAAACGATACCAGGACAAAATATATCAGGACAAATGATACCATTGACAATTGATCTCTGACAAAATATCTCAGACAAAATATCTCACATCAACATTTTAATGGTGTATATGATGGTTTTAGTAGATCTGAATATTTTTTTATTGACTGTCATACGCTTTTGCTTACTATGTTTAATGTTGTTTATAGGCCTATATAATAAGTGTGAGAAGTGTTAGCCGTATAAATTTGTCACAGTACACTAAACATTTTAAAATTAAGATTGCTAGTATAGTATTCGAGGATAAAAGACACACCTTCGTATCAATGTGGTCGCCTGCTTTAATGGCAGAGACATGCATTATGGGAAAGACATCCGCCCTCCATGGACGTTACAACTAGCATCTAAAGTCAATAGTTATGCTTCGGACGCACCTTAGTGATCAAGCGACAAATGCTTATTTAAACGACAGCGGTCATAGCGGAGCTAAGTATGTCGTAGTATTCTTGCAAACAATTCAGTATTAGTTGTGCTTACTAAGCTATGGCCTCATTCGTTGCCTAGCAGAAAGGTGTTAGGGCATTAGTTTCTGGTGAAGCTATGTTTATAAAAGCCATAAGTGGAGCTGAAGGCAAAGAGATTTGGAAATGTGAAGTTCGAACATGTCGAGCAAGAGTTCACACAATGCATGATCACATAGTATTAGAGAGGTGTGATCATAACGATGTACCTGCAAGCAAAGAAACGTAAACATTTTTGTTGATGATCCAATAAAAACAATAGTTTTACGTTACAAACCTGAAGACCCATTTACATTTTTGAAAAATTGTTCGCGTGTTTTGAACATTAATGTTATTTTATTTGTTTTATGCATTAACATTTATTATACCTTTCAGACTAAAGGAGTTTGTTTTAATTTTTAATTTTTAAAAATAAATGCTACTACAAAGATTAAGTTTAAAAAATCTTTTGATGCTTTTTTTGAGTTCAAAGAATTCATTTTATTCACGACTTTTGTGGGTAAAAAAAAGTAAAAAAAAAACTATATTGACAGTTAATTTAAAAAAATGTTCAAATCAACTAAAATCAACGTACATACTATTAAAATTTTGCTGTGAGATATTTTATCTGATATATTTTGTCTGAGACCATTTTCCATGGTATCATTTGTCCTGATATATTTTGTCCTGGTATCTTTTGTCCTTGAGATCATTTGCCCTTGAGATCATTTGCTCTGAGATCATTAGTCCAGGGATCATGTATTATGCGAACTCTTGCTCGACATGTTCTAACTTCACATTTCCAAATCTCTTTGCCTGCTGCTCCACTTATGGCTTTTATAAACATAAATTCACCAGAAACTAATGTATTACACCTTTTCTGCGAGGTAACGAAGGAGGCCATAGATGACAGTTCTCATCATTTGTCACCTGAGCACTGTGACCGACGCATAACTATGAACATTTGATGTTAATTGTATTTTCCATGGAGGGCGGATGTATTTCCCTAAACCTTGTCTATGCCATCATAGCGGGCGGCCACCTTGACACGAAGGTGTGTCTTTATTGTTATTCCATTCCCTTTGATCAAGTTTCGTCCACCTGACATGGTAGAATTGTCTCATGTTTGGCACGCCTACCTACGCTGTCTATTGAAAAAAAAATATTAATTTTCGCATACTATATTATTAATCGCAATTTTAAAAACTTTAGTGCAATATGACAAATGTATACGGCAAACACTTCTCACAATTATTATATAAGCCAATAAACAACATTAAAAATAGTCAACAAATCCGTATGACAGTCAATAAAACAAATATTCAGATCAACTATTATCATCAAATACACTTTTAAAATTTTGCTGTGAGATATTTTGTCAGAGATCAATTGTCCATCGTATCATTTGTCCTGATATATTTTGTTTTGGTATCTTTTGTCCGTGTGAATGTTTTTGTCCGTGAGATCATTTGTCCAGAGATCATTTGTCTTGAAATCATTTGTCAGTGAGATATTTTGTCTGAGATATTTTGTCGGATATCATTTGTCCTGAGATCATTTGTCCTGTCGCCGATGTTTACATACCCGGTTTATCGAAAACAACTCTAAGCCACGAGACATAATAAGCTATCTCCCACGACACAGTAAATGTCTTAACACTTGCACACGTCAAGTCATCGCCATCTGTTAATGTATTGTTTGACACTGTGGTTCCTGTCTGTACAGTAGCGAGATCACCTGTTTGATGGGAAAAAGTCAATAACATAAATTGTGCTTCTATCACCTCATGACATATTTGTATATATTTCTTATCGTCAGGCTACTCACCGTATTGACATAGATGACCAAACCAGCCCCTGTCACACATAGACCCTCCTGTACACTTTCCGTCAACATCACATTGGTTGTTGACACAGCGACATTTAAACTGACACCTAGAGCCGAACCAGCCAGCGTCACATACTGAAGCATATGTAAAACATTCATATTTAGTTAACTGTTATTACAACAGCCTAACAAATATACCCTACACTGATTTCTTCGTTTTTAAAAGTGTGTTACTAATGTAAATGCAGCTATGAGTAATCTATAATAATAGTTTCGCTGTCTGTGTATGTATCTATCTATCTGACAAGAACGCTCTGTCTGACAAGAACGCTCTAGAGAAAACATAAGAAAAAATTCTATCTGACAAGAACGCTCTAGAGAAAAGACAAGCAATTTAAAAACATGCACAGTAATTCGAAAAACGAAGTATGACGTCGACACATTTAGCGCACAGAGTAGAAAATAATCTCACAGTAATATAATGACGTCATTGATTCTGGCGTAAATGGCGTAAATATTGAATAAAGAGGAAATGTTGTCTAATCTAAGTGGTTTGCGTGAAGAGTTTCTTGCATACAATTCTTCGGGTAGGGGCGAAGCCCCACCCCCCGCGTAAGAACGTCTGAGCCCCCCCCCCCTCCCCAACTCAAAAGAAATTTCTTCATCGATACTCTATAATAAAATTACCGCCTAATTAATGTGTCTAATCTAAAAAGTGATTTTCTTGCAATTTCTTTAATGCAATTCTTCGGGTAGTGGCTAAGCGCGACACCAGTGTTTCTTTCAGACTTTTTCCTCCCCGGAGAGGGGTGAGGGTACTTGAAATTTTCGGGGGCGGGGGTAGAATTTTCGGGGAGGGGGCGGACACTGGAAAAAGTATATAATTATATTTCGTTGAATGGGACGGTAGACATGTTTTTTTAGGGGGGGGGGGGGGGGTGGGGGGGGGGGGGGTGGTGGGTGGGGGGGGGGTGTGTGTGGGGGGGGTGGTGTGTGGGGGGGTGGTGTGTGGGGGGGTGGTGTGTGGGGGGGGGGTGGTGGTGTGTGGGGGGGGGGGGGGTGGTGTGTGTGGGGGGGGGGGGTGGTGTGTGGGGGGGGGGGTGGTGTGTGGGGGGGGTGGGGTGGTTTTCGTTTAGACTTTTTCCTCCCCGGAGAGGGGTGGGGGTACTTGAAATTTTCGGTGGCGGGGGTAGAATTTTCGGAGAGGGGGCGGACACTGGAAAAAGTATATAATTATATTTCGTTGAATGGGACGGTAGACATGTTTTTTTGGGGGGTGGGGGTGGGTGGGTGGGGGTGGGTGGGTGGGGGGTGGTGGGGGTGGGGGTGGGTGGGGGGGTGGGGGTGGGTGGGTGGGGGTGGTTGGTGTGTGGGGGGTGGGGGTGGTGTGTGAGGGGGTGGGGGTGGGTGGTGTGTGGGGGGTGGAGGTGGGGGTTGGGGGTGGGGGGTGGGGGTGGGGGTGGTGTGTGTGGGGGGGGGGGTGGGGGTGGGGGTGTGTGTGGGGGGGGGTGGGATGGTTTTAGTTTAGAGAAAAGAGACAGCACTATCAGCCTAGCGCCCGTTGTACCCTGCCTCAACGGGCCATTTATCTATAATAATAGTTTCGCTGTCTGTGTATGTATCTATCTATCTGACAAGAACGCTCTGTCTGACAAGAACGCTCTAGAGAAAACATAAGAAAAAATTCTATCTGACAAGAACGCTCTAGAGAAAAGACAAGCAATTTAAAAACATGCACAGTAATTCGAAAAACGAAGTATGACGTCGACACATTTAGCGCACAGAGTAGAAAATAATCTCACAGTAATATAATGACGTCATTGATTCTGGCGTAAATGGCGTAAATATTGAATAAAGAGGAAATGTTGTCTAATCTAAGTGGTTTGCGTGAAGAGTTTCTTGCATACAATTCTTCGGGTAGGGGCGAAGCCCCACCCCCCGCGTAAGAACGTCTGAGCCCCCCCCCCCCTCCCCAACTCAAAAGAAATTTCTTCATCGATACTCTATAATAAAATTACCGCCTAATTAATGTGTCTAATCTAAAAAGTGATTTTCTTGCAATTTCTTTAATGCAATTCTTCGGGTAGTGGCTAAGCGCGACACCAGTGTTTCTTTCAGACTTTTTCCTCCCCGGAGAGGGGTGAGGGTACTTGAAATTTTCGGGGGCGGGGGTAGAATTTTCGGGGAGGGGGCGGACACTGGAAAAAGTATATAATTATATTTCGTTGAATGGGACGGTAGACATGTTTTTTTAGGGGGGGGGGGTGGGGGGTGGGGGGGGGGGTGGTGGGTGGGGGGGGGGTGTGTGTGGGGGGGGGGTGGTGTGGGGGGGTGGTGTGTGGGGGGGGGGTGGTGGTGTGGGGGGGGGGGGTAGTGTGTGTGTGGGGGGGGGGGGTGGTGTGTGGGGGGGGGGTGGTGTGTGGGGGGGGGTGGGGTGGTTTTCGTTTAGACTTTTTCCTCCCCGGAGAGGGGTGGGGGTACTTGAAATTTTCGGTGGCGGGGGTAGAATTTTCGGAGAGGGGGCGGACACTGGAAAAAGTATATAATTATATTTCGTTGAATGGGACGGTAGACATGTTTTTTTGGGGGGTGGGGGTGGGTGGGTGGGGGGTGGTGGGGGTGGGTGGGGGGGTGGGGGTGGGTGGGTGGTGGGGGTGGTTGGTGTGTGGGGGGTGGGGGTGGTGTGTGAGGGGGTGGGGGTGGGTGGTGTGTGGGGGGTGGAGGAGGGGGTTGGGGGTGGGGGGTGGGGGTGGGGGTGGATAGTGTGGGGGGGGGGGGTGGGGGTGGGGGTGTGTGTGGGGGGGGGGGTGGGATGGTTTTAGTTTAGAGAAAAGAGACAGCACTATCAGCCTAGCGCCCGTTGTACCCTTCCTCAACGGGCCATTTATCTAGTCTATAATAATAGTTTCGCTGTCTCTCTATCTATCTATCTGTCTGACAAGAACGCTCTAGAGAAAACACAAGGAAAATAAAAACATGCACAGTAATTCGAAAAACGAAGTATGACGTCGACACATTTAGCGCACAGAGTAGAAAATAATCTCAAACCCAGAGAGTGCTCACAGTTATATGACGTCATTGATTTTCGCGTTAACATTGAATAAAAAGGAAATGTTGTCTAATCTTAATGGTTTGCGTGAAGAGTTTCTTGCATACAATTCTTCGGGTAGGGGCGAAGCCCCACCCCCCGCGTAAGAACGTCTGAGCCCCCCTCCCCCCTCCCCAAGTGGGGGGGTGGGGGGGGGGGGGGTGGGGGGAGGTGTGAGTGGGGGGGTGGGTGGGGCGGTGGTTTCCTCATCGATACTCTATAATAAAATTACCGCCTAATTAATGTGTCTAATCTAAAAAGTGGTTTTCTCGCAATTTCTTTAATGCAATTCTTCGCGTAGTGGCTAAGCGCGACACCAGTGTTTCTTTCAGACTTTTTCCTCCCCGGAGAGCGGTGGGGGTACTTGAAATTTTCGGGGGCGGGGGTAAAATTTTCGGGGAGGGGGCGGACACTGGAAAAAGTATATAATTATATTTCGTTGAATGGGACGGTAGACATGTTTTTTGGGGGGTGGGGGTGGGGTGGGGTGGGTGGCGGTGGGTGGGGTGGGGGGGGGCTGGTGTGTGGGGTGGGTGTGGGGTGGGGGGTGGGGGGGTGGTGTGTGTGTGGGGGGGTGGGTTGGTTTTAGTTTAGAGAAAAGAGACAGCACTATCAACCTAGCGCCCGGTGTATCCTTCCTCAACGGGCCATTTTTCTCGTCTATAATAATAGTTTCGCTGCCTGTCACTCTGTCTATCTGTTGGGAATGTTATAGAGAAGACACAAGGAAGTAAAAACTTTAAGTCATACGGAAAATGAAACGTAACGTTAAATGGAACATATTGAAGAAAATAGTCTAAAACCGGGAAAGTACACCCAATAATATGACGTCATTGATTCTAGAGTAAACATAATTAAAAAGCCATTCCCTAAAAAGTAGTTTGCGTGCAGAGTTTATTTCAGGCATCTCTTCCACACACTGCTCGAAAGCAATATAATTTTTTTAGAAACAATATAAATTTACAAGTGTTCCCCTCCCCCCACCCCCACCCCGGAGAAATTATACTTCCAGTGACTCTAACCCTACCACCGGAAAAAAGTCTGAAATAAACATTGTGTGCGTTATTGAGGTTTAGCAGCCAAAAGTAGGATACGTTTGTATATTATAGAAGAAGCGTTTACCTTTTGTCTGTATGATCTAAAAATGCGAACAGTGTTTCTTTCAGACCATTCCGCACATTGGGGGGGGGGGGGCGGCATTTGGAATTTTCGAACGGGAGAGTGGGCTTAGACTAAATTTTCTGTGGTCGGACCCTGTTAAAATTATGTATTTTCTAATTAAATTATTTTTCGGTGAAGGGGACGTGTTTCGGAGTGGGTGTTGGGTAGTTGGGGGGGGGGGGGGGGCGCACCCCTCAGAGTCGCCTAAAAGAAACTCTAAATGCGACTTTTGTCAGGCTTCATCTTAGGTGCAAATTTAGTGGTATGACTACGAATATATTTAGTATCATTGTGCAGCAACTAAGAATAGATCAAGCTTAAATTCGGCTAAAATGCCGATTTTGGATAAAAATCCGTTTTTAATTATATTTTACGAGCCGACCCGCGGTGTATCATACGCCGCTATTTAGTTGTTGTTTTTTCCTCTTTTTAGTAATTCATAATTTGTGAATTCGACAGTACCAATGCTGCCACTGAAAATATTTGCTTTAAAACACTAACCCCCCCCCCCCCCCCCCCCCACGTAAAAGCAGCCTCCTCTTAGTTACCTGCTCTAAGTTTAAAATTGTTTCAAACAATATTATCTGCCCCTGATAGCGGTCACCAAACCCGGCTTGTAAACATTTAGCGTGAACCACAGCTCACCAGACCGTGGGTGGGGGGTATGGTAGCGATAGAGAGGAAGAGAGGGGACTGTAAGGCGCGCTTGCAGCTTGTTTTCTAACGTCTTCCAGAAGAGAATTATCCTAATACATAAAAGGCCATGTGCGCTCTTCTCTCTCTCTCTCTGTCCGCAAAATATTTTCGCCGGACATCACGTCAGAATCGGCAGCGATATATGGATACCTTTATACGGACTTTTGTTGAAAATAATATGTTAGATGTTTTAAATGTATAAACACAATTTTATTTAAAGAAGAAAAATAAAAAATAAAGGCGTATTCGAATATAGAGAAACAGTATTATTTATGCAACCGGAAAAGTGTATAAACTTGGGACAAGAACGCATTTAACAATGACGTCACTTATTGTTTACAAAACACTAAAACAAGAGCACGAAACTGATGACGTCATCTTCCGAGTTTAGAATTTGAAATAAAATACTTAAAAAAAACTTTTTAAAAAAAACACGTTTTTCTTGTGGACTAAAAAGTAGAAAATAATTTTAAAACGTGTTAAAAATGAACTATTTACAAAAAATGGCGGGGCTGGCATCCTTATTGAATGGCCAAGCGGAGAAAGCCTGGAAAAGGCAATAGCCACAGGCAGCCTATCCGACAATTTTAGGGCAGAAACAGAAGCTTTAGAACACGCAGCAAACCTCCTGTCAGAACACCCTGAATCACCGAATAGTCAGATTGTATTTCTTACAGATGCCAAATCAGTCCTGCAATCCCTACAAAATCCAGAGTCCTATATTCAAACACTTATGACAGCACTAGAGAGGCTAAAAAATACCTGCAGCAGAATTGTGCTGCATTGGATCCCGGGCCACTGCCAGATCCAGGGTGACGAGATCGCAGACCAGCTGGCAAAAATTGGGGGAAAGAAACCACAACCGGAAATTTCGCTACACCCAAAAGAAAGAAAAAGAATTTTAAAAAACAAACAAACGCAAATGTGGTCTGTCACACACCCTCACTACATTAAAGACGACGGCTATTGTAATTTAACACGAAAACAACAATACATAATCTTTCGACTTAGAACAGGCCACAACAGACTAAATCAACACATGCACAGAAAACTGAAGGTTGGGTGTAGCGAAATGTGCCCTTGTGGCAAGGCCCCGGAAAACACGGAGCACGTACTCCAGGAATGCACTTTGTATAGCCAGGCACGAGACAGACACTGGCCCCAGCCCACCCCACTCAGGGAAAATTATATGGGGCACCTGACAAACTGGAGACCACAGTCCGGTTTGTCCACGAAGTTGGACTTGTTGTCTGAATCCTCCACCATATTCACAATTAAGAACGAAGAAGAAGAATAAGAAGATTCAAATATGATTTAGAGCTATGTACGCTATGAAATGTAGACTACACAATACGATATTCTCGGCCTAAACTTAAAAAACTTTTTATCTATTTGGATTCTAGATCTAGAGATTCTAGATCTAGACTAGATCTAAATCTACGCAAAAACTACACTTTTAGACGCTACGTCGCTAAGATCTATTCTAGATCTAGATTTAGACTCTATCTACTGTAATCTATTCCAAAAATAAATTTCTGTAATAAACTTTTTCAGGACTTAAATATTTTATAGAAATCTGTGTTTGTTTAGCAATGAAACTGGCTAATTTTATGTAAAAAAAATAATTTGTAGAAATAGGCATATTCGTGTAAGTTATTTTTTAAAACACTTCTTTTATTCTCCATATTTTAAAAGGTACCTAATTAGCTGAGATGAAAGTGTACTTGATACCAGACAGGTGGTGCTGGATCGAGACACACCAAGTCAAACCTATTTTTTTTTATATGTGAATCTTCCTATTTTAGACAATAAAGAAAGGAACAACTTTGGAAATCTTTGTTTATCTATGCAATTTGCTAATCTCTATAATATATGAAATGAAGCAAAGTTGTTGGGTGCCCGACATCGGGCACTTCCCGGCGCCGCAGGCGCTTCAAATTTGGCAGGATTTTGCCTTGGGGCGACAGAACACGGGGGCCGGTGTAGGTTGGCCTAAAGGTCTACGATGAGGGGGTCAAAACAGACCTCGACTGACCGGCGCCTTATATGAGCTGTAAATCGAAAAAAAATTGTCCACGTAGGAACCTCTTCATAACTCTTGAGGTCGTAGACCGACCCTCGGGCGAATTAATTAAGCATTCAAATCCTCAATGTTTTTGAAAGCCTAAGCGAAGCTGGGCAGCATGCCTAGTAAATATAGATTCTTTTCCGGTTAACTTTGAAGTTGAGGTGGTTATTTTTGTTTTGGTTTTGGTTTAGAGAAAAAAAAGATAAAATAAGCACTCTAGCGCCGCTGTATTTCTCCCTCAGTGGGCCTCTATCTTGCATGTACATAAAATTTATTTATTTGCGCATGGTGTTGTTTTATACATGCCTTGCCTTTTATGCTATGAATAACTTTTAAATTATTTATCTTTTTCAGTCAGCATTTAATCATTATGTTTACAGTTGTTTTTCTACGCTCATGTATGTTAGAAAAAAAAAATGATAGTAATATGTATAGACAGCAAAACTACGTAAATTATTTGTTGCATAAACATGTTCTCTTAGTCTTTAACTGAATAATCAATTTTAAAATGTCATTAACAAATTGGATACAGAAGTAAAGAGAGAGATTGGTCTCCTACAAGGAGTGTGTTCTTCAGCCGAATGCGTATACATATTTTACTTAAATTAAGAAAGGCGATATTATTTGTGTGCTGGAATTTGATTATAAGGGATGTAAAATAATAATTGTAACCAACCATATACGAATATTTAACGAAGAAATAGTATCTGTGTAATTTCAATAAGCATATGGTAGTTTTAATTAAATTCTTCACATGGTAATTAATCTAGATCTAGGCACGAGGATTTGTCTATAGTTGGAGTTTTTGAAAATTGCTTTTTTAATAATAAAAGTAAATCTATGTATTATAGTGTATGTATAATAATAACAATGTTATGTTGTCATGAAGATGTTTTTAACAGTCTATACTCGGGTCTAATAACGTAGGTGCAGGCTAACAGGTTCCCACAAGTTAGTACAATTTTGTGCACTTACGTGCAGACCGCTTTCCTGTTTGTTTTCTCACTGACCTTGATAAAGTGGTTATTTTTCAATGTGAGTAAATCATAAGCGTGAGAGTTAGGGCGAAAGCTTTGTAATTTAGTCGGGTTTACGTCCACTTAATTTTAGATACTTTGTCCATCGCAAGAAAAAAAACGAGAGTAGTCTTTTGGTCTCTAAAAAGTTGAAATGTATTTCCAATACATTTTAAAGTGTATATTACCTTTTTGAAGTGTTATACTATCCGAGGTTCTTCGATATATTGGTTTAATGGCTTATATTTATACAAGGATTATACGCATATTATTAAATCATACCGCAACTCGTGTGTGCAGGTATAATCCATAAATAATTAGTTTTACGTCCAGGTTAGTTTCAGATAAACAACAACGCATCGTGACTACGTTCACTACTTTTATTTTGTCTCAAATATAAACATTCCAGAGTAGCCCTCGTCCTAGCCGCTATCAACTAACCCCTGATATTCATTCACTCCAACTTTTATACCGCATTTGACCTTGGGATAACAATAATTAACACACCGGGTTAACAATACTCTAGGGTACTCTAGGGTAAACTCAACTCCCACACGCACTCTCCCCTAATTCTAGATTATTCTAAACTATTTCGATCTAACCTACAACTGACCCGTAACAATTAGCTTACTACCTTTGCCGCCTGTATCATCAAATTATCTTTACTGAAAAAAACACATAGACAATGGACATAGAGCTGAGTCAAAAAACCCTGGTGGATAATGTACTAGTAGACAACGCTATTCTTTGCGCAATGCGATATAGCATGAAGAAGTTAGTCTAGTAGTGTTTGTATATGTTGTAATGTAGACTGGTACATGATTTGTACTTACCTCCAGTTGTATCCTTTATACAAGTGTGTAATAACACGATTGACAGTGATATAGTTAAGTACAACATGGTGTTTTACTCAGAAGATGATCTAGAAACACACACACATATATATATATATATATATATATATATATATATAGCTTTAGTTGTAGTTGTAGTTGTAGTTGTAGTTGTAGGTGTAGGTGTAGGTGTAGGTGTAGGTGTAGGTGTAGGTGTAGGTGTAGGTGTAGGTGTAGGTGTAGGTGTAGGTGTAGATGTAGGTGTAGGTGTAGGTGTAGGTGTAGGTGTAGGTGTAGGTGTAGGTGTAGGTGTAGGTGTAGGTGTAGGTGTAGGTGTAGGTGTAGGTGTAGGTGTAGGTGTAGGTGTAGGTGTAGGTGTAGGTGTAGGTGTAGGTGTAGGTGTAGGTGTAGGTGTAGGTGTAGGTGTAGGTGTAGGTGTAGGTGTAGGTGTAGGTGTAGGTGTAGGTGTAGGTGTAGGTGTAGGTGTAGGTGTAGATGAAGGTGTAGGTGCAGGTGTAGGTGCAGGTGTAGGTGCAGGTGCAGGTGTAGGTGCAGGTGCAGGTGCAGGTGCAGGTGCAGGTGCAGGTGCAGGTACAGGTGCAGATTCAGCTACAGCTACAGCTTCAGCTACAGCTACAGCTACAGCTACAGCTACAGCTACAGCTACAGCTACAGCTACAGCTACAGCTACACCTACACCTACAGCTACAGCTACAGCTACAGCTACAGCTACAGCTACAGCTTCAGCTACAGCTACAGCTACAGCTACAGCTACAGGCACAGGCACAGGCACAGGCACAGGCAGAGGCACAGGCACAGGCACAGGCACAGGCACAGGCACAGGCACAGGCACAGACACAGACACAGACACAGACACAGACACAGACACAGACACAGACACAGACACAGACACAGACACAGACACAGACACTGACACAGACACAGACACAGACACAGACACAGACACAGACACAGACACAGACACAGACACAGACACAGATACAGATACAGATACAGATACAGATACAGATACAGATACAGATACAGATACAGATACAGATACAGATACAGATACATATACAGATACAGATACAGATACAGATACAGATACAGATACAGATACAGATACAGATACAGATACAGATACAGATACAGATACAGATACAGATACAGATACAGATACAGATACAGATACAGATACAGATACAGATACAGATACAGATACAGATACAGATACAGATACAGATACAGATACAGATACAGATACAGATACAGATACAGATACAGATACAGATACAGATACAGATACAGATACAGATACAGATACAGATACAGATACAGATACAGATGCAAATATAGATTTAGCAAACAATACCGGATAATTTCCCTAAATTGTGGTTTTATCTAGATATGATTACATTCATTGAGTTACAATTGAGTTGCAATTAATGGATTTGATAAATATTAAGATGTACAAAAACAAACCTTTGTTTTCTTCATTGTCGATATTTACCATTCACACACAGACATTTAGCGTCGGTGCGTTTTAGTGCGCTTTAATAAAAATATGCGTAAAATCTTATTAGTTCTATTATCTTATTTTTACTTTCTCGAAGTCCTATTGGGTGTTGCAGTAATACTTTGCTATATAACATGCTATTTTTCAAAAAATTATATTAATTAATTGGCAAGCGCTAAAATTATGTTTTAGCTGTCAAAAATTAAAACAAAATATTAATTATTGATTTTTACGTGTTTTGAATTTTTTAATTCAAGATAAACTATTGAAAATAATTTTTGAAATAATTAATAATATTAATTCATTAATCCATTCAAAGTTTTGGAAAAACTTCCGCCAGGGAGAGATAAAATTTTTCAAACTAAATGAATTTTTGCGATCATGATTCCCATTGATAAAAAAACATGGCGGCTGCTTGTTTCTTGACTTCGCTTCAAGATTTTAAACTCATCATGAACTCCCAATATGCAACAAATATACACAATTTCAAGTCTATTGTGTACGCACGGTTGGGAAGTAATGTATTTGCATTCAATTCTGACAGAAAAGTTTTGTGGCGGTAAGTAAATTAATTATTTTTAAAAGTTAAATCTAAGACCTAGCAAGCCTAGCCCCAGGGGACATTACTCCTACAGTACTCCTACTGGACGATTTGGTAAACAGTAAACAAACGATTATCAAGTTCGACTTTACACTTTATTTCAGCATATTGCAACTAGATCTAGATATCTTATAGTTATTAGTAATAGATCTCAATCTACCTGATCCTAAATCTGTTCTTTATACTTCCTTAACTATATTAACTAGGGTCTAGATCTATACTGATACTGATCCCTCTAAATAAAAAATGACAGTGATTAGTGATTAGATTTAGTGTATGTTTGTTTGTAGAGATCTGATTGCAAGTACTTATCTAATATCTACAATCTAGATTCTAGTAAGTACTTCTAAGTACAAGTAGTGACTACGACTAGTCTAACTAAGTGCAGACTGTAGACTACTGAGGATGTTAGTGTAGTTCAGTTGAGCATAGTTACTGAAGTAGACTTAGTAGAGACTAGAGAGTGAATGCAACATTGTGAGTGTAATAAATTAAAAAGTTAATAATAGGACCTAATGATAATTAAAAAATTAATGACGAAGTGACTAGCCGGAATAAGATTTTTCTATAATTCTAGATCCAGTGAGTAGGTCTCTGAGTCTATATATTTTTTTTTCTAGATGTAGCTAGTTAACAACAGTGCTAAATCTAGTTAGTAACTTCAACTTGTCTAGAGAAATCTAGATCTAGAATTATTTAGTAATTTAGTAGGCAATAATTATAAATAATAATATTATAATATTAATAAAATTAAAATGTTGACATCTGTTGCTACTGCGAACCTATCTAGATTTGATTTAAGAAGTAGATTTAAAGTTTAGTTGACTGCTAAAGATTAAGAAAGTCTGCTACAAACTAGAGTAGTAGGCATATGCTTACTTAGAAATCTAGATGTAGGAAGTTTATGTGTAAATCTAGCAAGACCCAGTTATTTTAGTAGGCATTGAATTATGGTTATTAGATCTAGAGTCTAGAGTTTAGATTTAGTAAGAGATTTGTCAATATTGACCTGAAGTTATAGATTTAATGGCTAGTTTTGATTGCAATTTTATTTATATTTTTGATACGCTTATTATGTATAAAAATGTAAACTATGATTATGAGACAAAATTTTAAGTATAAATATTGTGTGTAAATCTATTTTTCAGAATACCTGAATTAAATCAGTGCATATAGACCTCTAGTAAACACAGAAGAAAGTACCCTACACATGTTCCAGGCAACCTTAACTAAGACTATCAACAAAACATAGGAAATCAAAATATGTTTTAGAATGATTTCATCTGAGTCTGCAATTTATGAATAACAATATTTGATGCAGGAAAAAATTAAATTCCCTGAAATTAAGGGACAAATATTACATTAAATAAAGTGCCTTTATCTTTAAATACTAAATAAATTATTAATTTATTTAATAAAAATTGAACTTGTCTTAATCATTGAATTTGTTTATTGATTGTAATTGTTAATGTTATTGTTAGTGTATGAAAATATTGTAAACAACAGTGAGAGTTGTAAAGTTCCTGTTTCTATTTCTAGCCTGTTTGTCCATGGATCAGTTTGCAAAGAGTTCAACTGTTCTGTGAACTTGGCATTCGAAGCCATGATGTGGTCAGCACTATGACAATGACTCTACTTTCACTGATGTGAGTTAGGTACCCCTCATTGCTGGGTGCACACAGGGACTTTTTACTGACTTAAACCTCAATTTAACTTGAGACTTTGGGTTAGTAGTAATGGCAGTCTAGCGCCAGTGTATTTTGCTTTAAATAAAATTTGCAAGTTAAACACTGTTTAGTTTCCTCAATCACTACAGCTTTCCAAAATCACTGAACTAACACACACAAACACAAAGAACGTATTAAAACAACACTCAATAAAAATAACATAAATCTTAACACTTGATAAAAGATTTATTTAGGATATATCAATATATATTTTTACAATGACCTACAATTACTAAATTGGGATTCATTGGTCAAGCAGTAGAGCACACAATTGATAAACCAGAGAAGTGGTTTGAGGGCTTGAGTACATTATTATTAAGGGTAACTGGCTTGAGATACTGACTTTAAGTGTAAACCACACAACTGTTTTATTGGTCTAAGTAAAAAAAACAAGACATTATTAATATTATTACAAGTGGAACATGCTTCATCTGTGGAATAATACTTTCATTAACAGTAAAAATAAATATTAACTAGTGTACACAGACACTAAAAATACATGCTTACTGTAAAGCAAAAGTAATTCTTCTAAAACAATGTAATATACATTAGGCTTATTTAGTCATATCTGTTTATTCTGAGTGATATAGTCAGAATTCTGTAATTATAGCATATTTAATTTCTACTAAGTAAGCCTTGTACAACAGTATGAATATCTAGAATCTAGCTATATAGATTAATTGAAGTTGCTGATTTTTTTTTTTAAATCTTTGAATTAAATTTTCAATGTTAAACTAAAAGCTCAATGACAGTAACACAAAGTCAAACAAAGCTTATTACAATTAAACTAATTAGGCCCTAATGTTAGTAATTATTAGATTAATCCAATTTTTAGGCCCACTTTGGGCTTAAATCAAATTTGGAATTTCTAGAGCTATTACTAGATATAGAATTTTATCTAGTAATACTGGTACACTATAACTTGTCTATATATATATAACGATAACTATCTCTACGAGGACTAACTACTAAGCAGACGACTAATTAGTAATTACGGTTATTAGGTCTAGCCTACTGTCACAGTGTAATATCTAGTTTATCTACATCTAGATCTAGTACTAAAAGAAAAAGTACTAGGAGAAGGATTTTTTTTTTTAAATATGGCATTGATTTAAAATAGGGGCCTATTTATTAAAATGAATAAAGGCAAAGTCTTTATAACTAAATAGGCCTAATTTAAATCAGGGGCCTATAATTAACTATAATATGATTAATACATAGGGCCTAATTACTAATTTAATCAGTTCTTAACTTTCTAAGCAAAAGAAAGTCTAGAAAAAAATTTATGGGCCTAAATTCAAAAGTTAAGTCTAAAGGTTTCTGTTTTACATAAATCTAGCTAATTATTCTATTATTACTAAATCTAGCTTAAATACTAGCTAGCTAACTAAACTAATACTAACACCTATTACTATTATATTAATAAAAGTATTCATATTAATCATATAGGCCTAGTTCACTATAAAAGAAAATACGCTATAGTCTATATAATATACAGTAACAGGCCTATACTTAATACTATTATTATTATAGATCTAGGTCTAACTAAAATAAGGCTGAGATCTAGATCTAAATAAAATACATAGGCCCTAGATCTAGTATTACTATTTGACGATTTGTTATAATATATTATTGTATTGTATCTAGATCTACTGTTTATAACTTAAACTTTAGACTTAATTAAACTTAAAGTATGAGTGTATGACGTATCATTAATAATTAATATTAATTTTAGGCCTAGTACTTAGTACTAAGAAGTAAAGTTAGTACACTAAAGTAGAATCTAATTCTAATTAGTAGTCTAACTAATTATATAATTACTAAAGTTCTTTAATCTTTAATTCTTTAGACTTGGTCACTTGACTTAACAACCTCTTCTTTACTCTCCTAATAAAATCGGTTTAGACTACGGTCCCTAGATCAGATCAAGATCTAGATTTCTAGATCTAGAGTTAGTAGAATCTACCTCTAAAATCTAAAACTCTAACTCTAAAACTAAATCTAGTAAATCTAACGAGTCGGTTATATTCTAAATATAATTCTAGAATCTAGATTCTAGACTATATTAAAATTTGAAAAGTCAATTCTTTATCTAGATCTAGATTTAGAATCTAGATTAGATTTTAATTTACTATCTCGATTTCTAGATCTAAATTCACGAAATTCTGATTCTAAATTCTTGAGTTTGTTTTGAAGCCAAAAGCGAAAGTAGCTTTCCTAACTTAAAAAAAAAAGATTTAATAAAAATATTCAGATTTGGTTTAAAAAAACGCCAACCGGCAGGACTCCATTTGGACTCCACTTCAACAGCCTATTGCAATTGTGTTGAAATATCTAGATCTATACCTAGTAGCCATTTGTACCCTTCACAACTTAATAATAGGCTTTGATATGTTTAGATCTATATTGTAAATGTTATACTTGTTTGAGAAAAATAATGTATAAAATGTATTGGTCAAAACGCAATGTTCTTTATTATACGTTTGACGATATTACTGACAATGGAAAGACATTACTAAAATAGCTAAAAATCTGAACAATCTAAATATAACATAAGCTAACCATACCTATTAGAATAATTAAAACCAAATTGTATGCACTTACTAATTAAGAGACTAAAATGATATCCTTAAAATACGGTTATGCAATATTTTTGTTGATTCTATAGTAATTTTTATTAGTTTAAAGCTCCCTATCAAAACTGTCGGTCTATAGGGCAAGTGATGTACAGTTCACTTGTTTCTACTACTTCGGCATATGAAGAGATATTGACATTACAGCCATACGTTTCTGGTTGCATAATTCAAATCGTGTTTCTACATTTGAATATGCTTTTTTTCCTACTTTAAATAATGTAAATAAAATTTATTTTATACATTAAATCCATCCGTTACATTTTTTTAACAAAAGTTGCGGACAAAGCGAGAAAGAGAGAGGGAAATAGAGAGGAAGAGAGGGAGTGAGAGAGAGTAAGAGAGAAAGAGGGATAGAGAGATAAGTGCACACATCGGCCTTTATCTAATAGGATAAAAGCAAAGCGGGTAATGGTTTGTTTGTTACTCACACCAAAGTGATCGGATACTTGCAGGTAAGTAGCAGGGAAATTGTTCTTGACACATTTCGCTATTCACTATCTTTTTAATGGGAAATGATTGAGTTTAAAATGATCGAGAACTGATCTAGAGTGACCACGGAATTATAAAAATTATACATTTTTTAAAGTGCTTGAATTAGATCGACCTCTTGTAGATGAGACAGAAAGTTGATATTTAGTAAAGAGGTAGCTCTAGTGCTGTAAACCCATGGAAACATTCCATAATTTCAGAGCTGTCATATTCAGGGGTAAATATTTTAACGCTTTTACTTCTCAATTTTTCATTGTTACAGCGTGAGGGATCTAAACTTTTCCTTTATTTCGACTACACGCAAAAATAAACGAAGAAAACATATCGTTAAAGGAAATTCTTTTAAAATGTTTACTAAACTGTTTTAAAAAGGTAAGACTAGTAATACAAATTTAAAAAAAACTTACCCCTCAATTATACATACATAAAGAGAAATTACTCCTCGAGGGAGTTCAACTCAATATTTTCCCAATTTTTTTATTACAGAAAATATAATCTCATAAGAAGTCGATTTAAAAATCCTTTAAAATTTGATTTTCACATTTTTTGAATGGGTTGAAGTAAAACTTCTCTCATAACTGATATTTAAAGAGCTGGGGCGGAACTACAGTGCCGCCAGACCCAGCAATGCGGGGGGGGGGGGGGGGGGGCACGCCATTTAGGGGCCCATAGCCAACCATAATAAATTTTTTATAGTTACAAAAAATAATGTTCTTGCATTTTTGACTTGACAGTAAACGCTTTTGTAAATAACGAACAGACCTACTTTTGAAGTGAAGTTATACACATGCTGTTGCGTAAAAAAATATATGCCTTAGCTGTAGTGTGAAAGATAGGCAAACGTTCAAAACACTTCCATGATTTATTTCCCTTTTTTAAACAGTTGAATAGGGGTGCTCATAAGATCCTTTTAATATATTTGTTCTAAATAAATTAAAAAGCAATTACTTCTCTTAACTATTATTTTTGAAAAAATACATACTAAAGAATGACATAGCATAAAAAGGAAATATATTTAAAACAAATAATATAAATAAAAAATAAATAAAAATAAACATCACACGAGAAACCATTGCACATACAAAGCTTTCACGTATTATATTCTTTTGACCGCCATAGACTATCGTCATTATGTGGTGGGCAGTTTTACAGCAAACTCAATTAATAAATTTGTGTGTGTTGTAAGAAAAAAAAATGATTAAATTTGTTGTAAATCTAACAACATAAATGAATTCAAAACAGACTAGCACTCACACACATGACATGTTGTAGTTTGTTAAGATTCAAGAAAAAAAAGACATTTTTTTTTCAAAACCCGATGAGGCCAGAAATGAACATCCAATGTTTGTATTCTGTGTTTATATATATATATATATATATATATATATATATATATATATATATATATATATATATATATATATATATATATTTATATATATAGGGAGGGGTAGAATATTTTTTTGCAGGGGTGGCCCTTTTTTCTAGTTTCGCCACTGTTAAAGAGGCAACATGCAAAATCTGATAAGTTTACTTTTAGAAACAAATAAGCTGCACATGTAACTTCCTTAAAAAAAGTGACAATTTTAGTAGTATATTAAAATTGTGTTCGAAAATGTATACATTAAAGCCTTCAATTTTAGCAGTCAACCATGTACAAGTCCCAACAGCAGGTAAAATTATATCCTAAACTTTTTAAACACGGCGTTTTGCAAATATCTTTTGCCTCAAATGCCAGTGCAGGGCCTGGCTGGTGCGGCTAGTCAGTATCAATATTCATAATTTTAGCCGTTATACACATACCTAATTTATCGCTCACTGAATGTAAAAGATGAATTGTAATTGTGCAAATAATCTAAATCGAGCTTTTAATAAAAATTGAGCTGGATAAATTTAGTTCCCCAATCCTAGCCGTCTGTGTGTGTGTGTGTGTGTGTGTGTGTTTGTGTGTAAACACGATAACTTGAGCATCTTTTCAGTTAGGCTGAAGGAATGTGATATGTAAGTTTTACATAAAATTATCGTTTTCTGTGAGCTTTTTAGCAGTTTATGGTAACCGAAGTTATATATCATATTTTGATTATTCTCATACTTTAATTAAGCTGCCATATTGGTAAGTGGTAATTTCATCTATTTTCTCTGATTTTAAAATACTGATAACTTAAGTACTGTTTCAGTCCAGTGGTAGAAACTCGTCCATATCGTAACAGCGACATTACCTTCAATGAACACAACAACATAAAAGCAATGAATGATTGTGCACCTGTTACAATTTTAATGCCGAAAAAATCTAAGAAATTTTAGCATTTTTGTTGTAATCAAGGCCACAGACTAAAATAATTGTGTGGAATAACATAACATGAGGTGTCTTGTTTTAAAGCAATGTAACTGTCAAAAACGAATACGCATTATTTAAATTATCGTTCCTCTGATTTTAAAAGATTAAGATTTAAAAAAAATGAAGACAGTTATGACGAATACAAAATGTACATGTAAAAAAATTCTGACTCAATTTTTTCCACACGTATGTTTAATATCCTGCTATGGTAATTATTTATTTTCGTATACAGCAGATTTGAAACCGCAGTTTTCAGATTAAAAATAAGAAAACAAAACAAACGGAAGGAAAAAAAATAAATTGTACAGATCTACCGTTAGTAAAATGAAAACGATAAAACAAAAGCTCGACCCCCACCCCGACTCTTCACTACCCCGATGTTCTCCCAGGAGTGGACCATCATAAAGTTAACATGGGCAACATGTATTACTGTTGTTGTTTTTTTTAATTATACCGCGAGACAATAATAATATTATCTAGAACATGAACAAAGCTTGTTTACTTCCCCTTACAACAGGTTAAGATCACAGTTTTTGGTTGTAGGGGAGTGCGAGCTAAGTAAGTCTTTATGAATAAAATATAATGTTAAAATGAAATATAAAATGTACACTTTAATCAGGCGTTAAATTATCGCACCGATATACAAACTGACTATAAAAAATATAACGAAGGAATGTGCAAGCTTTGTTAGCTTTGTTATATATTGTTGTATTCTGAGACACACTTTTAAAAGTTTTTTATCGACTACGTCTGTTAACATCTTCTTTTTCTGCTGTAGACGGCGTCACGTCATGGTTTGGTTTAGCACTTGAGTTGTTTGCAAATTTGTTGTAATGTGTGTTAACTTCGTTCTGTCTCTCTAGGACTTTGTACATGCACCTGTACCGTTCCTGGTGGATGTCCAAAATTATACCCGCTCCTAATGAGTGAAATACATATTACATATCTCATAACGTCTAATTGATAATTATGTTTATTATTTATTATTAGTTTCAGTGATTTATTTTATTAAGTTTAGAGATTCCAGCGTGGTGGAAGTAGTCAATTTTTCAAAAAGAAAATTTAAAAACATTCGAGGCGAAGTAATTTTGGCTTTGTTTGTTATTAATACATAGCTTTTAAGTTTTTTGTAAACCAATACTTAATGGCTGAGGATACAGTCAACTAAATCAGTCATATTTATTTATTGTCACATAGAATGCCTATTTATTTCTAAAACACTATTAATAAAACTCCTCACTCAAAAGACTTACGATAAACTCATCTTCCAGATTGTTTCCCTTCAAAAGCGACAACTCCGGTAATTTTGGTCAGAAACGGTTCTCCTCAAACAGCCAATGGCAATTTGAGCTGGTTTTTTGAAGAAACTGGTACTGTCCCTTATTAAACATGACAAATATTTTTAAAATAACCCAGTTTGTAAGAAAATGAAAGAAACATGTGTATAAAGTAACTGCATACTGTATTATGTTGGTAGAAAATCGATGCATGCATATGTTAGTAGGCTGATGAACTAAATCTTAAGCATTTAAAGATGCTAATTATTATATATATATATATATATATATATATATATATATATATATATATATATATATATATATATATATATATATATATATATATATAATATGACCTTTTAGTTAAACGCGAAATATACATCAAGTACCAAGCATGATTATTGCTAAATAGATTTCACCGATATCAGTAAATTTCCAATGGTAAAACAATATAAAACATTGGAATAAATATATACGCTACAACATCCAAATAAGTGATGTCGAGTGTATAACTTTAACGATTAAATTCCAAAGAGATTCTTACAGCTGTTAGCATCACTGTTAGCATCATTAAAATACCATCTTCTCTGAGTTTGGCCACAACCTGACGACAGTTGATCCGCCCTGTATATTCAGCTTCTCTCGACAAATGACATAGAGCGATGAAACAATTAACATTCCGGTAAAACCTAGCACTAAAATAAAGTAATTCAAGTTTAGTGTTTAAAGGATATTAATTACAGAAAAAAAGGATTATACATTTTAAAAAAATATTATAGAATAAAAAGGACCATAAAAAGTACTATACATTCCCTAACACAATGACTGTCTCCAAAACACAATAGTGAGTATGTAAAATTAGAAACCTATAGCGGACAGCAATAGGCCTTGATATATTCATTAAGGCAACCCTCTGTTCTAAATCCACAAGTCCCCATGGTGTTAAAGGCGCATCTCTATCTAGGCATGGTGTGTAGTGGAACAGGGTGCATCGGTGGATCGGTTGATCTTTCTGTAAAACCGCATCTTTTTAATAAAATATACATACACATTTCATATCATCTACTTTAAAATGTACTTTTATTTATAATGAATCTTTCCTATGCTATGTTCCAGCATATATTTTATCATACATGTTTACTTAGTCTGAGTTTAGATTATAGTTTATTGCAAATGTTTACTTTACTAAGTTCAAGTAACCGCAACGTGCAGTCAGCGGGCACATGAGTTTTTGCAAACTTCAAAGAACATTTCTTCTGAATATCAAACGGATACAATATTAATTTTAGGACAATACAAACTAGACTTTTCGTAAACCTTACATTGGCTTGGTTAAATTTATTTTAATAATTATGGTCACTTTTTATCGGGAACTTTGTTTGAAAAGTAGTAGGATATTATTTTTACATGTGAACGAATTTATAGAAAAAAAACAACAACGTAATAACGAATTATTAAACAATATTCATTACCTTCAATTCTTTAATCGTAATATCCAAAATCAAAGATGTATCAACGTTTTGTTCCCAAATAATTCGTGCACAATCGTTGATGCCTACTTCATTTGGGCCTTTAAATAACATTAATTAATTAATTGTCTAATGTGTCGCCTTTCTGTATTTGCTTGATTAATTAAAATGTATATTTGATATGCAATATGAACTTTAAACCAATAAATTATTCTATACTATTATTGCTTGAGTAAAATGAATATTCAGTTGTATCTAATACATGTCTATTCTTAAGTAAACTCCATCTTTATTTTAATTCTATTTGAATCAAATATATCTAACGTCTACAACGTAAAAAGAACTAAAATTCCAATGCTACCTTGGGATCCGATGAATCTCTGGGTTTTTTTGTAGCACTAGAATGTAATAGACATTATTAATAAAGTATTTAGCAGATTTTAGAGATTAATTTCACAAAATAAGACGTTTAAGTAATAACAATAGGGTATTTAACTTCTACAAAACAATGACCGCAAAAACGTTAACCTGTCCTATAAAATACTGACTGCATATTCATTAAAATTTATTTCTCTCACATTAAACTCATCACCAAAATGACGACACTACTTACAGTAAACTCTCCAAGATAAAATAGACTTTTGTCTGTCTGCATGTTATGTAGCTCTGAGACCAAGACTTCCATGTCGTAAATACCCACGTTACAATTTGTGTTTGTATTAGCAGCAGGCTGTTCGCTAACTGTTATTTTGGTTTCCATTACTTTTTTAGGTCTGTTTATATTTAAAACATGAAATGAAATAACACAATTATAAACACTTTTCGAGAGAAAAACATTCACAATGATTCGCCGTTAATACAATGTTAAGCATTATGTACTGATACATCTAATATATCGCTCTAGCACAAGGCTTTTAACACATATAATTTTAAGCGTAACTAGACAACCCATAATCCCCTGGATGACTATGGGTTAAAGGGTCATTCATCAATGACATCACGAAAGTTTGAAGATTGTATTTCTCTTACTCCCCACTGTCATACATCATTACCAAAAGTCAGCTCACTTCGTCTAACAAGACGTTACACCTTAGATAATAATTTTTATCGACTTATAAAAAAATGCAATTTTAGCTGAGCATAGTGTCAACTTTACTATCCTATAATCTAAAAAAAAGTCACACCTCAGCTGAAATATTTTTGTCTTTTAAAAACTTTGATTTCTTTAATTTACACTTCTCAACCTCAAAACTCAAAGGAATATAAAATAAATACAAATAACATCGAAATAATAACAACGAATTAGAACTATTCGCGTGCATTGCGATTTCCCTCTGTAAACTTTCTATGTGGGAAAGTTAAGACCAAAAAGAGACCAAAAATGCACAACATATATTCAATGTAAAAAATTTAAGGGAGTCCTGGTTTAACTTTAAAATAAAATTGGAACAAATAATATTTTATTTAAGTCTTATCATAAGTAGAAAATTCCAATGATATGAAACACTAAAGTCATTAAAATATTTAAGGATTGTAATTGTTTATTAAAATTATTAAATTATTCATTTTGTATTTTTTTAGGTCTACTTTGTTTTGGTAACTACGTTTGGCATAGATTCTAAATGTTTATCTACTTTTCTACGACGAAACTAGTTTCGGTATTTCTAAAATAAATTCAGTGTAATCTTGAATTAGAAGATATAATATCAAGCGTATCATATTTGAAATTGATATTATCGCTGGGGTTTTATATACACAACAAGCGTATCATTTAAGAAATAGCTGTCAGCAAAGTGAAATATATATGGCATTCAACTTTTCAATCGGCTGCCAAGTTTTTAAAATCAATTTTTTTTTCTAAAGTTGTACATATAAAATGTGTTTATACACAAAAATATAAAATTAATTTACTTAAACATTGAAATAAATCTTTGTCTTATATATTCTGAAAAAAAAATGTTTTTCTATACAAAACTAGGCAATTTAAAATGATACACGCTGTGCAGGTGGACAATCAGGTTATCAAACGATATCCAAAAACTATTTAAAATCAACGCAGGCATTTTGGAAGCAAAAAGTATAATTTTACCTAAAGAGTGTGAACATGATAAGGAAGCCAACTATAAACAGCATTGCTCCAATTATATAAATAGAGGAGTTCGGCAGGTCGCTGGCGTAATCCTGTGCTACACTATGCACCGGAACATCAGTATCTTAAAGAGGAGATCATAAAGTAAAATTAAAGAGTATTATGTATTGCAATAATAATCACATAGTGCTAAAATTACCAATTGATTAGTACATTTTAAACAAGCAAGAATACTTGAGTTACCAATCAATCCTTACCATTGAAGAAGAAACATTCCGTGTCTTTTTCAGTAAACGTTCCATTACACCCAAGTAGACAAGTTCCATCTGTGTAGTTACACCAAGCCTGTGTGTCGTCGACCACACACAATGAGCTGCATGGTGTATGACAACCGTCTCCATAATAGCCAACATCACAAGCTGCATGAAGGTTTTAGTGTAGAACGTTACAATGAGTAGAAATATCAATAATGTAAGGTGGAATAACATATACTTTTTAGTTATATCTTTACGTGCTTCATATACTGCTTTACTGACCAAAACTTTCTAAACATGTTTATTTTAATTCACTAATTTTAATACCTTTTACATTAACCTGTGCTTATGCACTTCACTGCGTTTATTAAGTACCATCTAACATTATCAAATTTTTTCCCTAATATCCAGATAGCAGAGCCTACCTTTATCACAAAAAAATCCGTGATATCCAGGATTACACTTCAAACAGTGACCGTTAGCCGCGCTGCACTGTGAATTTAAACAGGTGTCAGAGCAGGTGCTTATACAGTTTTGTCCGAAATGGCCACTCTCGCAATCTGCATTGAATTTGGGTGTTAGAAAAATAAAAAAATGTATCACTCATTAAATTAACCTAATCATTGTTGTACTGATTTTTTTATATGTATCAACGGTTATATGCTATCCAATCACCGCATGTTTTCGAAATCAATCTTAAAAAGTAAAGCACGTTACCATGATCGCATAAGAAGCCCATTTTGCCAAAAGGACAACTTAAACACCGACCATTTACGTTGTCACAGATCTGGTCTGTGCAGTTGGTGCTACACACCTTGCTGCAATGATCCCCAAACGTTTTAGAATCGCAATCTGTGTATCCAGAATAATTATACTTTTTATCATTATGACCAAAATTATTATGAGCAATGAGAACAGACACAAATAAAGCAACTAATGAAATAGGTTTTTAACATTAAAGAACAATAATGAACCCAACTAAGTACAGGAATGAAAGAGTTAAAACGAGACTAAGTCGTCGCAAGATAAAATAAACTTTTCTCACCCTTATCACAAAAGGCGCCTTGTTTTCCAATAATACAGCTATTGCAGGTTCCATCAACATTGCTACACTGTTGATTTTTACAGCTGGTGCTGCATCTTTGTGCACAGTTTATACCATAGTATGTTGTGTCGCAGGCTGTTTAGGAATAAGATGACATCTTCAGATTTAAAGTTAGATTTAAAGTTAGATTTAAAGTTAGATTTAAAGTTAGATTTAAAGTTAGATTTAAAGTTAGATTTAAAGTTAGATTTAAAGTTAGATTTAAAGTTAGATTTAAAGTTAGATTTAAAGTTAGATTTAAAGTTAGATTTAAAGTTAGATTTAAAGTTAGATTTAAAGTTAGATTTAAAGTTAGATTTAAAGTTAGATTTAAAGTTAGATTTAAAGTTAGATTTAAAGTTAGATTTAAAGTTAGATTTAAAGTTAGATTTAAAGTTAGATTTAAAGTTAGATTTAAAGTTAGATTTAAAGTTAGATTTAAAGTTAGATTTAAAGTTAGATTTAAAGTTAGATTTAAAGTTAGATTTAAAGTTAGATTTAAAGTTAGATTTAAAGTTAGATTTAAAGTTAGATTTAAAGTTAGATTTAAAGTGAGATTTAAAGTTAGATTTAAAGTGAGATTTAAAGTGAGATTTTAAGTTAGATTTAAAGTTAGATTTAAAGTTAGATTTAAAGTTAGATTTAAAGTTAAATTTAAAGTTAGATTTAAAGTTAGATTTAAAGTTAGATTTAAAGTTAGATTTAAAGTTAGATTTAAAGTTAGATTTAAAGTTAGATTTAAAGTTAGATTTAAAGTTAGATTTAAAGTTAGATTTAAAGTTAGATTTAAAGTTAGATTTAAAGTTAGATTTAAAGTTAGATTTAAAGTTAGATTTAAAGTTAGATTTAAAGTTAGATTTAAAGTTAGATTTAAAGTTAGATTTAAAGTTAGATTTAAAGTTAGATTTAAAGTTAGATTTAAAGTTAGATTTAAAGTTAGATTTAAAGTTAGATTTAAAGTTAGATTTAAAGTTAGATTTAAAGTTAGATTTAAAGTTAGATTTAAAGTTAGATTTAAAGTTAGATTTAAAGTTAGATTTAAAGTTAGATTTAAAGTTAGATTTAAAGTTAGATTTAAAGTTAGATTTAAAGTTAGATTTAAAGTTAGATTTAAAGTTAGATTTAAAGTTAGATTTAAAGTTAGATTTAAAGTTAGATTTAAAGTTAGATTTAAAGTTAGATTTAAAGTTAGATTTAAAGTTAGATTTAAAGTTAGATTTAAAGTTAGATTTAAAGTTAGATTTAAAGTTAGATTTAAAGTTAGATTTAAAGTTAGATTTAAAGTTAGATTTAAAGTTAGATTTAAAGTTAGATTTAAAGTTAGATTTAAAGTTAGATTTAAAGTTAGATTTAAAGTTAGATTTAAAGTTAGATTTAAAGTTAGATTTAAAGTTAGATTTAAAGTTAGATTTAAAGTTAGATTTAAAGTTAGATTTAAAGTTAGATTTAAAGTTAGATTTAAAGTTAGATTTAAAGTTAGATTTAAAGTTAGATTTAAAGTTAGATTTAAAGTTAGATTTAAAGTTAGATTTAAAGTTAGATTTAAAGTTAGATTTAAAGTTAGATTTAAAGTTAGATTTAAAGTTAGATTTAAAGTTAGATTGAAAGTTAGATTGAAAGTTAGATTGAAAGTTAGATTTCAAGTTAGATTTCAAGTTAGATTTCAAGTTAGATTTCAAGTTAGATTTCAAGTTAGATTTCAAGTTAGATTTCAAGTTAGATTTCAAGTTAGATTTAAAGTTAGATTTAAAGTTAGATTTAAAGTTAGATTTAAAGTTAGATTTAAAGTTAGATTTAAAGTTAGATTTAAAGTTAGATTTAAAGTTAGATTTAAAGTTAGATTTAAAGTTAGATTTAAAGTTAGATTTAAAGTTAGATTTAAAGTTAGATTTAAAGTTAGATTTAAAGTTAGATTTAAAGTTAGATTTAAAGTTAGATTTAAAGTTAGATTTAAAGTTAGATTTAAAGTTAGATTTAAAGTTAGATTTAAAGTTAGATTTAAAGTTAGATTTAAAGTTAGATTTAAAGTTAGATTTAAAGTTAGATTTAAAGTTAGATTTAAAGTTAGATTTAAAGTTAGATTTAAAGTTAGATTTAAAGTTAGATTTAAAGTTAGATTTAAAGTTAGATTTAAAGTTAGATTTAAAGTTAGATTTAAAATTAGATTTAAAGTTAGATTTTAAGTTAGATTTAAAGTTAAATTTAAAGTTAAATTTAAAGTTAGATTTAAAGTTAGATTTAAAGTTAGATTTAAAGTTAGATTTAAAGTTAGATTTAAAGTTAGATTTAAAGTTAGATTTAAAGTTAGATTTAAAGTTAGATTTAAAGTTAGATTTAAAGTTAGATTTAAAGTTAGATTTAAAGTTAGATTTAAAGTTAGATTTAAAGTTAGATTTAAAGTTAGATTTAAAGTTAGATTTAAAGTTAGATTTAAAGTTAGATTTAAAGTTAGATTTCAAGTTAGATTTCAAGTTAGATTTCAAGTTAGATTTCAAGTTAGATTTAAAGTTAGATTTAAAGTTAGATTTAAAGTTAGATTTAAAGTTAGATTTAAAGTTAGATTTAAAGTTAGATTTAAAGTTAGATTTAAAGTTAGATTTAAAGTTAGATTTAAAGTTATATTTAAAGTTAGATTTAAAGTTAGATTTAAAGTTAGATTTAAAGTTAGATTTAAAGTTAGATTTAAAGTTAGATTTAAAGTTAGATTTAAAGTTAGATTTAAAGTTAGATTTAAAGTTAGATTTAAAGTTAGATTTAAAGTTAGATTTAAAGTTAGATTTAAAGTTAGATTTAAAGTTAGATTTAAAGTTAGATTTAAAGTTAGATTTAAAGTTAGATTTAAAGTTAGATTTAAAGTTAGATTTAAAGTTAGATTTAAAGTTAGATTTAAAGTTAGATTTAAAGTTAGATTTAAAGTTAGATTTAAAGTTAGATTTAAAGTTAGATTTAAAGTTAGATTTAAAGTTAGATTTAAAGTTAGATTTAAAGTTAGATTTAAAGTTAGATTTAAAGTTAGATTTAAAGTTAGATTTAAAGTTAGATTTAAAGTTAGATTTAAAGTTAGATTTAAAGTTAGATTTAAAGTTAGATTTAAAGTTAGATTTAAAGTTAGATTTAAAGTTAGATTTAAAGTTAGATTTAAAGTTAGATTTAAAGTTAGATTTAAAGTTAGATTTAAAGTTAGATTTAAAGTTAGATTTAAAGTTAGATTTAAAGTTAGATTTAAAGTTAGATTTAAAGTTAGATTTAAAGTTAGATTTAAAGTTAGATTTAAAGTTAGATTTAAAGTTAGATTTAAAGTTAGATTTAAAGTTAGATTTAAAGTTAGATTTAAAGTTAGATTTAAAGTTAGATTTAAAGTTAGATTTAAAGTTAGATTTAAAGTTAGATTTAAAGTTAGATTTCAAGTTAGATTGAAAGTTAGATTGAAAGTTAGATTTCAAGTTAGATTTCAAGTTAGATTTCAAGTTAGATTTCAAGTTAGATTTCAAGTTAGATTTCAAGTTAGATTTAAAGTTAAATTTAAAGTTAAATTTAAAGTTAGATTTAAAGTTAGATTTAAAGTTAAATTTAAAGTTAGATTTAAATTTAGATTTAAAATATATCGACTATTAAAATGTTGTATTGTTTTCATTTGATTAATGAGTTTGTGCGTTAGAGTTTAACTTTAAATCTAACTTTAAATCTAACTTTAAATCTGAAGTTAGATTTAAAGTTAGATTTAAAGTTAAACTCAAAACTATGTTTTGTATAACTTGCTAGTTTGATACACCAAATATATTGACAATTAAAATGTTTTATTGTTTTCATTTGATTAATGAGTTTGTGTGTAAATTAAATGGGCGGAATATATAAAATGTATATAGCACATTTTTAATTCTCCCGCTTTAAACATCATAGATGTCAATAAATGATAACTTACCGCGCTCACAAAACACCCCTAGGTACCCAGCTGAGCAGCCCAGACATGAACCATCGATATTGTTACATTGTTGGTTTAAACACCTGCGATTGCACGTTTCCGCACATCCTGCGCCGTAGTGTGAGTCACTGCATGCTATCAAAGACAATTAAACCAGTGGCGTGACAGCCATTAAAACATGTCGGACACAGTTCACTGGTGAGATTAGTTTTTATTTTTATTTTTAGCAATTGAATCGTAACATTGCTACAACCCCCCCCCCCCCCTCTCATCAAGCGACTGCACATGTGCACAATGAACAGTTTTTTTTTCTTCATTCTGTTGTAAATGCAGCTGTGTATTATTGTTAATATTTATAGTTAACACCTTTACGTCATGGTGTTACTTCCCCTGTCAATGTGTACTAAACTAACCAATCAACTTTCATTAATCATTGAACTGAAAAAGCGAGTTTCTTCTGAATATTTTGTAATGATTTGTCTTTGTATCACTGTCTAAATGGCGTCTTTCAATGAGATTTTCAACCCTCGTACCTCCTTGTGACATGTAGACAGTACTCAACACTTTTTTTTAATATATTAAATATGTCTTCCCGGATTTTCACATCTCTTTAATGGAAAAGTTGATTCTTATATTCGAAATCTAATGTACAGAAAAATATCAACTCACTTATTTTTTACAAGTTATTTATAATTGTCTTACGTTCTTAAATTTACATTTTGCCGAAACCCAACAACAGTTATTATCACAACAACTGTCACGCTACAATAATTACGAAACACTACACGTTATTTTAATATCATGAACACACCTTCAGAGCAGCCGTAACCTTCAAAGCCTACAGGACAACCCGACAGACATCCGCCTGTTGTGGGAAAACATTTCTCAGTTCTATCGTTACAGTTGCAAGGGATGGAACATTCGGGCCCATATGATTTAGGTGTGCAGTAATGATCTAAATGTTAGCAGATCGTAAACATGGTTGTTAACAAACAGACAATAATAAACAATCGTAATTAGTGCTAATTTCCATTGCAATATTTTTAACAACCTGCTAGCTATATAAATTATACATTGCTAATCGATGAAAATGTCTTAACATCATTTAACTTCAAAAAAGTTCTTCGTATTTCCTATATGAAGTGTTTAAAATGTCATTGTATCTTCGAACACTTTACTTGGTTTTTTCTTACCGCTGAAGGTCTCCACCTCACATAGCGTTAATATGCCCCTAGCAGAAATGGTCACATATGAAATAGGAGTGGCTGAAGGTCTGGTTGTGATGGTGTATATAGCGACGTCATTGGCGGGGTTTTGATCAGTGTAACTGAATTCTTCCCGATCAGTTGAGCTGTTGCTTTTTAATACAAATCCTTTAATCCGTTCCCTGTTATCCTCTGAAAAAAAAATATTACACTGCTATGTAACTTTTATTTTTCAATTTATTTATTTACATAGATTAGTTTGGCATAAAATGCTGTGTACCTCTGTTATGGATTACATATCTGTTCAAGTACCATGGCTGACTAAATGTGACTTTCCATACGCCTGGCGAACCCGACAAAGTGTGTGAACATGATTTGTGAGTGAAAAACTTTCTACTTGTATTGCCATCTACAGCTCTGGTTGGATCATATGATACACCGTGGTAGGTTTCCGTTGTTGATTGCCAGGTTGATTGTTTTATGGCTACGTTACGACCTAAAAATAGCCAAATAAAAAAAATTGTTATCAATACATTCTAATATACATATAAAAAACTTACGAAATTTTCGTTATCTGTAAAAACTAGGCATGCTGCCCAGCTTCGCTTAGGCTTTCGAAAACATTGAGAATTGAATGTTTAATCTATTCGCCCGAGGGTCGATCTACGACCTCAGGAGTTATGAAGAGGTTCCTATAAGGTTCCTATAAGGCGCCGGTCAGTCGAGGTCAGTTTTGACCCCCTCATCGTAGACTTTTCGGCCAACCGGCCCCCGTGTTCTGTCGCCCCAAGGCAAGATCGTGCCAAATTTGAAGCGCCTGCGGCGACGGGAAGTGCCCTATCAGGCACCCGACAACTTTGCTTTATATATTATACAGATTAGCAAATTGCATAGATAAACAAAGTTTCAATAAAGTAATTAAGGCCTGAAATACTTTAGTATAGAAATGTATTATTTGAATAGATTCTAGATCTAGGTAGGGTTTACATCTGTGTAAGTCTAGTTTTTCCGTAGATCTAGATCACCTAGATCTAAATCTAAAATCTCTAGATCTAGATGATCTAGAATCTCTAGATCTAGATGATCTAGAATATCTAGAATATCTAGATCTAGAATATCTAGATCTAGAATCCTAATAGAATTTTTTTTTAAGTTTAGCCCGAGCAAAATTGTATTGTATAAAGTTTATATCGTACGTAGATCTAAACCAAATTTGAATGAAATAGTTCATTTATTTTTATCCGAAACACGGCAGATGACGTCATTAGTTAATGTATAAACATTAGTGACGTCACTGTTTTATGCATCACTTTTTCACAACAATAAACGCTTTTCCTGATGCATAATTAAAACTGTTTCTCTACATTCGAATACGCCTTTATTTTTTATTTTTACTCTTTAAATAAAATTGTGGTTATACATTTAAAACATCTAACATATTATTTTCAACAAAAGTCCGTATAAAGGTATCCATATATCGCTGCCGATTCTGACGTGATATCCGGCGACAATATTTTGCGGACAGACTAAGAGAGAGAGAGCGAGAAAGAGAGAGAAGTGCGCACATGGGCTATTATATATTAGGATGCATTACTATACCTTTTATCTGATCCCCATAAAATTTAGTTGCTTATTATGAAAAATTCAATTTAATATCGGAAGGTCGGTGCCTAAAGTTTGCGATATGATTTTTCTCCATGACAATTACAATGAAAATGAAAGTGATAATGACAATGACAATGACAATGACAATGACAACGACAATGACAATGACAACGACAATGACAATGACAATGACAATGACAATGACAATGACAATGACAATGACAATGACAATGACAATGACAATGACAATGACAATGACAATGACAATGACAATGACAATAATGACAATAATGACAATAATGAGAATGACCATGACCATGTCCTTGACCATGACCATGACCATGACCATGAACATGAACATGAACATGAACATGAACATGAACATGAACATGAACATGAACATGAACATGAACATGAACATGAACATGAACATGAACATGAACATGAACATGAATATGACTACGACCATGACCATGACCATGACCAAGACCATGACCATGACCATGACCATGACCATGACCATGACCATGACCATGACCATGACCATGACCATGACCATGACCATGACCATGACCATGACCATGACCATGACCATGACCATGACCATGACCATGACAATGGCGATGAACATGAACATCAACATCAACATCCTATTGCATTAGTAAAAATCAAAAGTGGTTTAGCGTGCAACTCGTCACACTATATATCAAACGACATGGACAGATACATAGATAATCTCTACTCTTCTGCCTAATGATCCGCTGGGTCCAAAAGTTTCCGCTGGGCAAGACTGTTTATTTTTTAATGGATTATTTGGCACTCGATTATTTTATTTTCCATTATTTATTTACTCTATATTTTTTTTACAAACTTATTGTGTTACTTGATAGTTTTAGCGCATTGATTTATCAAAAAACAAGTTAATTAAAAAAGTCTAGTGACATTTGTGCGCAATTTCCTTATGTTATCTAAAAATAGCTCTGACGTATAATGTTGGGGTGCGTTCAAGCTAGAAGAACAATCGGTTTGTAGGTGTTTATGTAATTTTAAAATTTGTGACCGAACGAGAGAATATTTTTGAAAACTTTCTTCGGCAATATTGTTCTAAATTATGACAGGAATCGATTGGTACATGTTTCAAGTCGGTAAGTGGTCTGGTTGCCGAGATATGGGCCAAAAACTGCTTTTTTTCGAGATTTTTTGGCTTTTCTGGGAAATCCATGAAAGAAACCCGGAATTTTTATGGCCTATGTTCATTCTCGTAACTTGCTTAACATAATTGCTTTTGGAACTAGTCATCGATATTGCTTCGTTGAGGAGGAGATACGACTTAAAGCTGCGGACACACATTCATCCATCCATCCATCCATCCATCCAGAAATGACGGGTTAATAAACGCAATTCTCCAGAATGGAAATTGCGCTAAAAATTATACTAAATTTGTCGATCATAAATTATTTTTAAAATAATTTTACGAAACTTTAAAAACATTATTTATTTTTAGAAATATTCTAATATATTAATATTCTAATGCACGCAATATTCTAAAATAACATTTAGGTACCCCCGCGGGTAATTTTGTTGATGCCTGGACTAAAACTTTTTGGGGGCCCCTGGTATATAAATATATATAGAGGGGGACGGTATGAAAAGTCACAAATTTCACTTTTTACTTTCTCGTATATACGAAGTATAGAGAAAGTATTGTAATCGTGCAAAAAAAAAATCGAGATTTTTACAAATCTCGACGTTTTACACCTCACTGATACGGAAAAACATAATTTTGCAATCTTGTCCGTATGTCTGTGTGTCTGTCTGTGTGTCTTTGTGTCTGTCTGTCTGTCCGTGTGTAAACACGATAACTTGAGTACCATTACAGCTAGGTTGATGAAATTTCATATATAAGTATTTTATCAAAATCGTAGATCCGTATCAACTTTTGAGCGATTTCCGATAACCGGAAGTGGTACTTTTCCTACTTTGAATTTTTCAAAAGCCTATAACTTGAGTACTATTTCAGATAGATAAATGAAATTTCACATGTAAGTAAAAGATCTAATTCTCTACCTTCTGTTAAATTTTGAGTAATTTCCGTTGACTGGAAGTAGTACTTTACGCTACTTCCGATTTCTCAAAAAACTAATGTAAATTTTAAAAGTACTAATAATATTGCGCACTATTATGCGCTTTTTTATAAGACGTTCATTTGGTGTGCAAATAATTGTCTACGAGATTTTATTCTATTTTTAAAACTTTAAGTATTTAAAATGGATTAAAAATCATGTCTATAGCCCGAGTTCCCATCCCCTGTTATTTTATATAAGAATATTCGAGAAAGTTTAGGGGAGATCACTCCCGGTTTATTAGGATATAGAGACAACAATTGTGAACCTTTAACAATGCCAATGTACCAGATAGAGTTCCACATTTTATATAACTGTATACAGATCCGTTTCGAGAAACTGTTCACGGTATACCCATGCCTGACTTGCAAAATCTTGATTTGGAATTGTGACATTTTATCCCAGTGCGGGGTGAAAAGTATCAATTTTCAAATGTTATATGTTAAATCTATTTGATCCCAAAAACATTTTTTTTATATTGAAAATAATTTCCCTTAATAATCAAGAATTATTACAAAATGTACATAAATTTGAATTGAAACAGTAAAATATTAATTTTAAGCATATTTTATTGTGGACACGGGAAGAAACGTAGTTTGGCTTCAAGGATGTAGTCCAGCAAAACTGTTCTTGCTCATCTGAGAAGATGCACTTCTTCTGTGTGCTGTAACCAATGTTGCCTTCTCAATGTTGTCGATGTTTTGTTCAGCTTTACATAGCTTTACATTGACTTGCCTATTATTATTGTATGCACTGTATACATGCTAGGGGAATATATTGAGTTCATGTGGTAATTCCAGAAAGAAAAATGAAAAAGATATTTTCCATGTTTTGTAGTCTTCTATTTTAATGACCGGAGTAAAAATTCACACCCAAAAAACAGTGTGACTTTTCACTCCATGGCCTATGACCTTTCACCCCAGCAGGGGGTTATCATACAAAGTGATCCACACTTTCAAATCAATTTCTCAAATGTACAAACACTTAATCCAGACTTACGTTATTATAGGTTGAGAAATAAACACTGCATGAAAACACAAAAATAACGAAAGATGCAAGCACGCTTACTTGATTTCGTTAATTGAATCTCCCACTTTGACGATAAAAACAAGTACATATGGTTGTGTACTTAGTTCTGGTTCAGAAAATTAAACCGGAAGCGAACTCCAAGCAGGGTAAACGACTAAAAACGATACTTTTCTTCATGAAGGAAAGAAAAATTATGTTCTTCAAGGCAAAAACTTGCTATGACTTTTCACCCACTCTTCCCCTACTCACACACATATTTATATATAGGTATATATGTATATATATATATATATATATATATATATATATATATATATATATATATATATATATATATAATCAGTATGTTATTTAAGATACTAATGGATTATTATAACTGATAGGAACATTCGACAAGGATATTTACAAAAATGCTAATTTAAAAAGATGTCAATTATGTTCAATGAGCAACCAAGTGGATATAAACAGCCTAACCAATTTGCTAATTTAGCTTTAGCTAGATTATACTTAGCCTATCCCCCCCATCCCCCCCCCCCTTTCACCACCACCACCACACATACAGTTACAAAAAAACCGAGAGGCGAGATCCACCTGTGTTAGCAGTACTTAATAATTGGCTGTTTTCTTTAGACCTACAGAAGTCTCCGACCACCGAATCAGTCCAAACAGTTATTTTCTACACCGGGCTCATTTCCTATATTTATGTTTTGATCTAATGTAGGTCTAATTGTCGATTACC